CAGACACATAATTTTAGAAATCCTCAAATGACAAAATATATCACACATGTACGTACTGTGTGTTCTAAATTCGCGAACAATCATGTCCTTTTACCGTTCATAACTGTTAGCCTCAGTTTCTTTTTTCAAACATTATAGGCGACAAAACTCACAAGAAATCGCATATGGATACAACATTCATCTATAAGAATCTTAATATTTTCTGTGTGAGTGTTCAAATGTTTGAGCATATGGATTAAAACGTAAGCATTTCAATGCATTTCCCTCAATTTATAATTTAGTAAAACTTTTTATCATATAATGGGTAGGTTTCTAGGCAGGATAAAGCCAACGGATAAAAACGATATCCGTTGGGGTCATATGCGGATAGAGATGCAAATACCAAAGGTCAAGTAGGACTACTTTCACTGTTTATAAACAAACATGGCGTCGCCCTCCTCATTCGGCGATCGAGTCAGAATTAACCATCGTGAATCTGGATAAACTACAGGGATAATTGCTATCATTATCAAACGAACAGTCTAATATACTGAAAATCAGTGTCTAACCGTGACGTAGCTAAGGCATTTTATGAGTTTTGGCAACTTTCGAGAAATGAATTTCGAAACAATTTTGCGAGGGCACGAGGCCTAGCCAAGCGGGATCAGTAGCCATATCTGTGCTTGTAGACCTCTGTGGCTTGAAACCTTCTCCACAAATCAAAATGGGACGGATTCGGCCGAAATATGTTTGAACTGTTACCTTGTTTCGATTTGTCGCTGTGTGTACATCTGACTACACTTCTTAACGTTATGAAAGGACAGACCGACTGTCAACAACGTCTGACCGTGGCCGTGACGTCTCATAGACTAGGGTTAGAGTAGCTTCACTTTGACAAAGGGCAGTTACTCTAGCGGACAGACCGATGGATTGCCGCGAAAGGCAATTAAAAACAACTGTTGTTTTGCGTATAAGTTGCTTCGCCACTGTATATGAAACAGATTTCAGTTGGAACTATATTTGCTACTGTCACAGTCCTACTGACACATCACTTACCCTGTGACGTAATAAATATTAATGCGCGCATTCCAGGAAAACTCGCAATGTTTCGGTAATGTTTGTGAGAGAGGGAAAGCGATTTTAAAGCACAGAATTAAAGAATGACATTATATGATAAAGAGGTTATCACGCTTGTGTGTTTGGGGATGGTAAATATCCTGTATTAGGAATAAACACTATGTATTTAGCTCGCCAAGGCTCGCTAAATACAATGTTTATTCCTAATGCAGGATATTTACCATCCCCAAACACACTCGCGTGATAACCTCTATTTATCCTATCAATATCACGTGTCAAATTGACTTGCCTTTGCATGCGTTTGTAACGGGTGTCAACGGTGGGGCAGGATACGCTCACCTTTCCCAGAACACCTGGCATCATCACTATTTGATAGTGATTCACAAACGCATGCTTATGATATAGTCCGAATCGTGCTTTCAGCAGAGATTCCTTATGATTATGAAAATGGGGTGTCACTATTAATTTATGAACTGTTTGACTCTTAGTTTCCACATCGGACATCGTGAAGGAGGTGATCTTGTTTAACGAGGATAACAAAGCTCCGTCTGTTCATCTGGATGTACATTATATACATAAATACATGTATGTGCAAACTTTAAATCAACATTTTCTAAGAATAACGAACACGTACCTGTTCCTAACCCATGGAGACCCAATAGAAACACGCTGGAATAACAAGATTCCTTCATGGTTCCGTGGCGGCCGTTAAAGAGGTTTGAAGAAAACTTTTGATTCTGCTTAATTTCACGAACTAATCTATTGGACGTACATTTTTAAGGGAAATATTTGTTTATCGTAACTGTTTCGAATAAACTGGGCCCAAATGAACAGTTTCATACAGGAATCAGTAAGTTTGTTTTTTCTATACAATAGTTAAGTGCTTGTTCACTTCTGTTTAAATAGTGCCCTATGATAATATATTCATGGGGCGGTAGGGTAGCCTAGTGAGCCAGCTAGTCACGCCGAAGACACGGGTTCGATTCTCCACATGAATACAATGTGTGAAGCCCATTTCTAGTGTCCCCCGCCGTGATATTGCTGGAATATTGCTAAAAGCGGCGTAAATCATACTTACTCACTCACCCACTAATACAGTTTTGGTTTTGTCCACTGTGCTAGCCGCTTTGAAGGTGTGAGGGATGTGTTTTGAGTCTGGTTCATTAGCTGAAGAGATATGACGGACCTACACATCTTAATGGCATTTTGCAGTTTCATGCAGGAATTATTGAATTTTCGTTTTTTTTAATCCCATCACGGGAATTAAGGCTGCTACAGATTATTATGAAACATAATTGGTATTCTGTTTAACTCAAACCTCTTTTTTACAAGGCTCCGTACATATGTACCTTCGTCACATCATCAACAATCCGCGCCTACGCTCGTCATAAGCGCCGACTGATTGGATCGTGTGGTCAGCCTCACTGACTTGGTAGATGCATATCATCGTATCCAAATTGCGTGGATCGATGCTTATGATGTCCATCACTGGATTGTCTGGTGCAGATTCGATTATTTACAGACCGCCGTTTATATATCATGGCCGGGATATTGCTGAGTGCGGCGTTAAACAACAAACAAACAAGAATCTTTATAGCCTGAAAATCTTTCGAAAGCAATCTCTGAGCGTTGGATGTGTGTGTGTGTGTGTGTGTGTGTGTGTGTGTGTGTGTGTGTGTGTGCGTGCGTGTGTGCGTGCGTGCGTGCGTGCGTGCGTGCGCCTGCGTGATATTAAGGGGATTAAAGAAGGACTGGTCGGCTTGGAGTCAGTATACTGTGTCTGAGTGGGGTATTCATATTAAACTACGGCATGGCATCTCAGTAGGCTAGCACTATAAAATCGGTATTTTTGACGTTTTTAATAGTTTCAGACTTTAAATATCAATTTAGTGATAATGTATATGTACTGCAGGGAGTGGTTGTGTTAGTCTAGACTAAATCTCTTGTGGCACATTAACACCTACATATCATCACTACACATGAGCTTGGCTGATGGCGTAAAGCCCCGACGTTTGGCATTTTGTCTGCATCATTAAAATATTTCATTTTGGGCATGTGGCATTGCAGCACCGTGCACATTTTATGCCTTCCACACCTTCAGCTGCTCGAACATCAACGACGATGTGCATTGCGATCACGATGACACACCAGGCCCAACCCCCGCAGCCCGAAAGGTGATAGACCAGATTGGAATGGGGCCAGGGCCACGATAGAGACGTTCAGTACCAGAGCTTGTATCACTCATCTCAGTGATTTGTTTGTTTGTTTGTTGATTAACGCCGCCCTCAGCAATATTACAGCATTATCACGGCGGTCTGTAAATCATCGAGTCTGGACCAGACAATCCAGTGATTGGTATCATGAGCATCGATCCTCGCAATTGGGATACGATGACATGCATCAACCATGTCAGACCACCCGATCCCGTTAGTTGGGAAAGCAAGAAAGAACAAACAAATCATTCAGGAAGCAACAACGTTGCTCATGTGACCTTTGCAACGTGCTGAATGTTTCCGATTGATGACAGTAGAGAACATATTGTGGAAGCTGTCTGACTGGCGCTGATATGAAGGACAAACCCGAAATATAAAATCAGATGTTATTGTTAATAATTGGTTTGACGCCGAGTGTGATATATTTAAAAGCTGCAAACTTCTAAATAGGTTTAGAAAACATAGAATCACTAATTATCTATGTAGGTTATCACATGTGGGATGTCACTTTAGTTATTTTACGAGTGCTTTATTTAATTTCTCTACTTTCTTTGTTTTGTCCTGGTTAAACTTCCGGGTTTAGTCAGTGCAAGGCCAAGCACATGGATGTAAATAGAATATGAAATGAACTTGTGTAGGGTGTAAAGGGCACATAAAATTTATTGTACCTGTCAATTATAAACCTTACAATTCAAGTGCCAGTAAAAGAATTTGAAGAACATACATATTACATAATATCGGTCACAATGTTTCAAGACTGAATATGACCGCCTCCGTGGTCTAGTGGTAGAGCGTCCGCCCGGAGAGCGGAAGATCTGGGGTTCGATCCCCGGCCGCGTCATACCAAAAGCCGTTAAAAGATGGTACTGATGTTACCCTGTCTGGCGCTCGGCATTAAGGGGTTAAAACAAGGACTGGTCGGCTCGGAGTCAGTATACTGTGTCTGAGTGGCGCTCGGCATTAAGGGGCTAAAACAAGGACTGGTCGGCTCGGAGTCAGTATACTGTGTCTGAGTGGCGCTCGGCATTAAGGGGCTAAAACAAGGACTGGTCGGCTCGGAGTCAGTATACTGTGTCTGAGTGGGGTATTCATGTTAAACTGCGGCATGGTATCTCAGTGAGCTAGCACTATAAACCGACATTAGTCCTGACTAGTACAGTCACACAAACACATGCACGTCGCTATATAAGTGCAATTATCTTGGATGCGACGTTAAACCCCATTTCACCTCACCTGAAGACTGAATCAAGAATGTATGAATCAATCTATGCTGAAGTTTAAAATAAACCATTCAAGACAGTGTATAATTGTGTGTCGATGGCCAAAGTGTATCACCTACAATCTACATGATTCTAAAAGGTTCAGGTCTGTTCTGAAAAAAAAAAACAAGCATCTAGAAATAATATTACCACCATTGATTGGTATCAACACTTTTGAAATCCTTTATCACCCCCCGACATTGAAGATCAGTGTGACGCAGAGCCGACGGAACCAAATAGATTCGCTCGACATGATACAAACCAACATGTCACCCTTGACATTCTCTCTCTCCAATAACGAGAGATGAGATTTTAGAAAATGATGTGAAAGTGAGTGAGTGAGTATGGTTTTACACCGTTTTAGCAATATCACGGCGGGGGACGCCAGAAATGGGCTTCACACATTGTACCCATGTGGGGAATCGAACCCGGGCCTTCGGCGTGACGAGCGAACGCTTTAACCACTAGGCTACACCACCGCCCCGAAGATGAAATGTCACTTAAGTGATATTACTACAACTTACCGGGGTCGACGACATTGAGAGTGTAGTTAATGGTTAGATGATACCGAAGACCATTGGACAAGAACACTCTGAAAAGTCCTGATCTGTTTTTGGTCACGTTGAAGTGGGTTAATTGATAGTATTCCACGTGACGCAGCCCTTTCAACTTGTCATAGTGCCACATGCCGCATTCAGTGTCCTCCAATAGATTTCTGTCAGTCCCTTCTCTATGTTGAATCCATCCTACAAGAACCGATGGTGGATTGGACACAACTGAGAAATTGGCAGTAACGGTTTCTCCCGTATGCAGCAAATGTACCCTTGCTTGGTCGCGTTTGTCCTGTAGCTTTACCATACCTTAAACAGATAAGCACCAGGGTATAGTGAATACAGTGAGTTAGGGAGTATGGTTTTACGCCGCTTTTAGCAATATTCCAGCAGTATAACGGCGGGGGACACCACAATGGGCTTCACACATTGTACCCATGTCGGGAATCGAACCCGGGCCTTCGTCATGACGAGCGAACGCTTTAACCACTAGGCTACCCCACCGCCCCTACAGTAAATATAACATAAATATGAAACGCCCAAAGCAAAAGAATAGCCAGTCTTGGTTATTTATTTGGTGTAAAGGGCAAAAAATGTCTATAAAAATTACATGAATGGACCACTGAAAATCAGTGATGACACTAGGTGTTCGCGGAAAGGCTTTATCATATTTTTTCGGATTGATGACATCATATATGTTCTGCAGGTTTGTTTTGCATAGCTAAACCTATTCAGTCATGTAGAACCAATACAAAACGTTGACGCCAGAGAACAACCAGTCTCGATTATCCGACGAAACAGATTCCACGCGGCGAAATGGACAAGACAGCGATGAGCATTTTATGAATGGATCACTCAAAATCAGTGATGACACCAAGTGGTGGCAAAAAGTCGGATGCTACCAGTAGACAAGGGCACGATACAAACACTTTAGGCTTTCTATCCAGATGTGCTATATACCTGTCTGTTCAACTTCTAATTTAAGCGACTGTGGTGTCATAGGCCCCCATACCATTGAGCTCAGGTTAATCTCAACGAGCGGTTGCTGGGTGCGGCGTTTTGCAAAAACAAACACTTACTTTTGTCATGAAATTTGAGTGACTAACGGATTCTCCCGGTGGAGAAAGACATGATAACCCTTTTCGCGAACATCTGGGCCCTCTTGCACAAAGCTTAGCGCTAAGACTACTGTAAGCCTATGTTAAAGTATGGGAGTTACGATCATCTTAGCGCTAAGATCGCTTTGTGTAAGTAGGCCCTGCTGTCATCACTGATTTTCAGTGATCTCTTCATAACTTTCACTTATTTTGCATAATTATATATTTTCGTCGAATAATCGAGAATCGTTGTTCTCTGGCGTTGACGTTTAATATGAATTAAAGAATTACTCTCCAGACAAATATGATTTTATGAGAATTATATTTAGGAGATAAACATACTTTGTTTTCAATGTAGAGCCAGGTTACCTCTAGATTTAACAGCGCTAAACCGAATTTGGAACCGAACGCGCAGCGTATAGAGTACAGAGAAGCACCAAATCCCAAGCTCCCTGTTGTCCCCAAAACTTAAAATATATTCTCTTTAAAGATTTTTATTGTGTTTTCCGCGCGAAATGTATTGCCACACTTCCTTTGAATATTGTAGTAACCGCAACTTTTGCATTTTGTAACCTGTAATTGTAGATATAGTTATTTAAATATGCCTACCGACAATGACTGAAAATAGTACTATTCTGTGAATATTAGCTTCCGCGGTGATGCGGCCGTGAAACCAGCTGTTTCAATCAGAGGGGGTTTATTGTGTTTTAATAGTCTCTGATTGACCAATCAGAATCGAGTCATTTCCAAATTCATGGTAGAATATGAAATATAAGATAGCTACGCGATAAATCGCAAAGAGCAATTGAAAACAAAGCATGGTTTATTTCACGATAAAACATTGTCCTATCATGACGTTATGTCTGGAGATTCGAACATGCGCTCGCAACTTGATGACGTTGTAAATTGGGACTGCACCCCTCATCGTTTATTCTCCCTGTAGTTTTATTGTACGATAAAGAACGACCAAATAATAGCGTGAAACTTTTGCCATGACGTCATTCCTCACTGACCCACTGCTTGATAAGTCTTTGTTTCAGTATGACCAATACTCACATTGAACAACCTTAAGTTCAACGATGCTTTCCACAGTCTCACCCCCAGCAGTGGGACTGCCAGCCTGACAAACAAACGTGCCTTCTTCCTCACATCTCACGTTGGTCAAACGATAAACACTGGTGAAACCCTCCACCGGATGTTGACGAAAGCCATATTTGTGTGTGAGGTTATCCGTGTTTACGTTGACGCCATCCTTGTGCCACTTGACCAGAGGAGGAGGGTATCCATCAATGGAGCATGCCAGAGTGATGTTTGCACCCTCACTAGAACTGTATGTATCCCTTTCCTCGTTATTACTTGAGATAGCAATGTTCTGTGGGGGATCTGAAAAACAGAGTCTGAACTTTACTTTGAATGCCACAAAATATCAACGTACTTATGAACGTATTCATTAAGCTGCAGTGTTTTATGGGGCACGAGTCGCTATTCGGCTTGTCCCGGAATAACATCATTAATTGAGATAGCAATGTTCTGTGGGGGATCTGAAAAAGAGAGTCTGAACTTCATTTTTGAATGCCACAAAATATCAACGTACTTATGAACGTGTTTATTAAGCTGCAGTGTTTTATAGGGCACGAGTCGCTATTCGGCTTGTCCCGGAATAACACGAGTTGGTCACGAATGGCCTTGTTCTATTCCTCTCTGACTTGTCACCAGGATTATTCACCTTCCTTGGTGGTCATCAATGACAGTCACCGGTTGTTCTGTGACCAACTTACCATTATATGGCCCGGGAACAACTTGTCAGTCATTAACCGTATCTCACAAACGCGCCTGATCCTCGCTACCCAGCTCACTGTATCAACAATAGTTGCAAGGAAATTGAAACGGATACTTAAGTCCAATTATATTAATAACCTGCCATAGTCCATTACTTGGTAAGGGCAGTAGAAAAACCCAACCAACCAGACCCACCACCCAGTTATACGCATCGCTTGTACCCCTCTCTACAGACATAAACCTTTATGAGTGAGTCAGTTGGGTTTAACGCCGCTTTTAACAGTATTCCAGTTATATCACAGTGTGTAAGCTTAATTTGGGAGGAAAGCCCTAAGTGATGCAGGTCTCAAACGTTTACCTTTTCGGTGAAACCCACGAGCACAGGTATGGTGCTGACAAACCTAGAAACATAATCGGGGCGAACCAGGATTCGAACCCACAATCATAGGTTTCTGGCATGCCCAAGGGACGCAACTCTGCACAGAGAATCGCATCGCCTTAGACGACTGGGCCACCCTTGCCCCCTAAACCTTTAAGAGATGACCTTATCGCTTTGAAATTGCAAGCAGCGGCAGTGGTTCTTGCACAAATGTTAATGATTTCCTTGTTTTCATTGGCATATTGTATCGTTGGCACATTTTGTATTTACAGAACCGACGAAATCATATATAATTATTGCTAAAATTGTAAAGTCGACGTCACATCAACGATAATGTCCATTATCTACTGATTGTATCATTAATAACCATGTGTTGATGCTGTCATCACTGCCAACATTTTTGTCTATATCATTGTTTCTCCAGTCATATGTATTTAAAGTATGTATAGATAGACAGAGATATATAAAACTTGTTCCACACGGTATCGATTGCATATCGTTCAAAAATCAACTTAAAAGTATGTCCATTTAAAAACTTATTAACATATCATTCTTATCTTTAGTTTTCTCCCTTACGTAACTATTTATAATGACATTTAATCAATATTAGAGAACACGTTCCTCCTCTCATTCTCACGAAGTTTCCCATACCTTACAGGATTCTGCTGGTAGAGAGAACGAATCTTAGATTTGATTCGTTTGTTATTATCCTTGATTTGCCAGCACCTTAGTCAGTGCCGTGGTTTCAGCGAGTGATCAACAAGTTCTCCTAACCCGGTATATAACTATTCTATTGTTTGTTTGTTTGTTGTTTAACGTCGCACTTTGCAATATCCCAGCTATATGACGGCGGTCTGTAAATAATCGAGTCGGGACCAGACAATCCTGTGATTGATATCATGAGCATCGATCCACGTAATTGGGATCGATGACCTGCATCAACCAAGTCAGCGAGTCTGACTACCCGATCCCGTTAGTCGCCTCTTACCACAAGCATAGTTGCCATTTACGGCAAGAATGGGTTGCTGAAGACCTATTCTAACCCGGATCTTCACGGGTCAACTAGAGTACTGGTCAAATCGTCGCTTAACCGTGTTCGACGTCATATGCAGCTACTTCTTCGCATAAAAGTTGCATTGGTATAAGCACAAACTTGATTTGTAGACACTTAGTAGTAGGTTGTCCAATATAAACAATCATTAGTAGATCGAAACCAACACTCACAGTTCACGAGTACTTCCAGCGTTTTATTCCCAACTTGGTCGCCATTTTCGTCTACAATGCATGTGTAGTTTCCTCGACTTGTGATTGTAGCTGGCTTGAACAAAAGTGACGCATTTCCCCATTGAAATGTTGGATCATCTTCTTTAGTCCAGGAGACTTTGTAGTTGCACTGTGATACACACCGAGCCTTGCATGTGACGGTCGCCTCCCTCCCAACGTCAATCCCCCATGGCGACTGTTCTGTCAGGGTTATGGAAGCTGAAGAAAGGATATTTCGGAAATTAGCTATTATTAACATACCACCATACATGATCCATTTATGTTTGTAAACAATCAGCATAAACAAACATTCTTGGTATATATTAACCTGTTTTTACTTCGACAAAAGCAAACGCAAACACCACTGCATAAAACATAACTTGGCCGTCGTTCCCACGTTAACACAAGTGGGCAATCAAGGAAATATTTTTTTATGCCGATTTAATAATCCAAAACACACTTAACGGTAAAAGCTGTTGTGAAACAATACAAGGTCGCTACAAAGTTTTTGTTTGTTGCTTAAACCTGCACTCAATATTCCATTTGTATGACGGCGGTCTGTAAATAATCAAGTTTACACAAGACAATCCAGTGATTCATATCATGACCAGTCATAAAAAAATAGACCCCCTCCGTGGTCCGCCTCCGTCAGCCCGGAGAACGGAAGGTCGGGGTTCGATCCCCGGCCGCGTCATACCAAAAGACGTTAAAAGATGGTACTTGTTGTTACCCTGCCTGGCGCTCGGCATTAAGGGGCTCAAACAAGGACTGGTCGGCTAGGAGTCAGTATTCATGTTAAACTGCGGCATGGTATCTTAGTGGGCTAGCACTATAAACACACACACGTGCATGCACGTCGCTTTAAAAGTACAATATAAGTTGTAGCAGGATCACGTGGGGTACATGGGTTTTTATACAAAATACACTTATTTATATAAAATAATTCAAATATATTCCAAATTGATACAAAAGAAACTGCTCGATTGAGTTGAGGTTAGCTTGCGCCATGTCACGTGACATCCATTGGCTCGGGAAAAGCGTGCTTTGAAGAGGGGTATGAAGGATTTATTCTGTCTCTTAGAAATGCACGTGCAGCCTGTAGATTTATTCCCCCGCTGAGAAATGTATTACCCTCCAAGGCGGGTAACACAGTATTTTATCAAGATCACGTGGGCTAATCAGATCACACCATTCTGACGTGGAGGCATCATTCGTCACCACTCGCCCCTTTCCGTAACCTGCAAGATGACTCGTCCCCTCATTCGTGACCAACTCGTGTTATTCCGGGACAAGCCGAATAGCGACTCGTGCCCCTCTCGTGGCCATTTTGCGACCGGGTTCCGTCTTGGCGCAAACGGGCATACCTAAAACAGTTGTCAACTCGTTGTGTAATGGTTCACATATATTTCCCCGTATATTATATATATTTCAGATACAATTTAAAGCACATCGGGACATGCGGAATGATACAGTATGTTTGAACACACTTAACTGTGTCTTGGGTATATTTTTAGATGCAGGACACATGTTAAATCAAATATTTTTTCTGAGGGATTCTTTAACAAAGAACTTGAAATCATACGCGCATTCTGATTGGTTTGTCCTATTTTCGCAAATAACATTCATCGATAGTGGGACGAGTCTTCTTGCAGGTTACGGAAAGGGGCGAGTAAGGACGAATGTCGTCCCCCTAGCGATGAATGTTATGTGCGAAAATACGACAAATAATAATCCCGGAATAACACGAGTTGGTCACGAATGTTAAAACCCAATGTTCGCCTCATACGACCATGAGTGGTTCACTGGGACAAGTCCTAACCTAAGATGCTGGGACATTCAAGCCTTTATGTTATGGCTCATGGTACATTTCATTTAACGAAGATATAAACAATTTATTAACTTTTTTGGCCGAAGGAAAATATTTTCTGTTTCCGAAACTGTATCCTGCAGTTTGTATTTCCTCGAACATTAAAATATTCCATTTTTGACAAGATATATAAAAAATAGAACTGTTAAAATGTTAGTATCAATTTTCACACACATACGGATACAATATCCACACATAGGTACGTTTAATAAATACTATGTGATGGCTCGTATCTAAACAAGAGGCCCATAGGGCCTTATCGCTCACCTGGATATTTACGCAATCATGACAAAATATACATTTGCATTGTACATGTACTTAATACTGCAAATATTTCTTCATTTTGATTCTGGCAGCATTTAAAATGGGTGGATGTCAAATCTGACAGCATGAACATGTACTTCTCTAGATACAAATGTAGCATAACGATCTGAATCGTTTCCATGTTATGTTCCAGGATAAATCATATTAAAGGTATTATTCTCTTTATAACAAACAAATGTATACAATGTATCTGTTTATTATAGTGTGGGGATAATATCGGTTTGCATGTTATGGTCAAGGTTCTAACTCCTTTGGGAGTGCCGGACAGATGAACAAAAGGGCCAGTCCTGGTAGCATATGTGCATTCCTCTCATTATACTCTCAATTGTGCATATGGTATACGGTGGGGATCTTAACTGTGTCCAAGTTATAAACTCTTTTTGGACCCGCCCCTTAGTCCCCGGGGGTGGGGTAGGGTTCTGCCACTCCATTTCTCCAATTTGAATCCCCACCATTTGAGAATGCTTCCAATCATATATGGTTGATATCTATCTCTTAGTTCCAGAGAAGAAGTCGTTTATAGCAATATAGCCAAATTACCCCTTTTTGGCCCCGACCCTCAGCCCCTTGGGGGGTCAGCCCCACCATTTGTACAATTTTGAATCCCCACCACATAGGGATGCTTCCAGTCAAATTTCGTTTTTTTCCTCTCAGTTGTCGTTCCTATTAGAAGAAGTCGCTTGAACGGACGGACGACGTACGGTCGACGGACGCCACGGTATGGCATTAGCTCACCTTAGTCCTTCGGACCCGGTGAGCTAAAAACACTCTTCCATAAACTGAAATTATGCGCAATATCTCAAAGATGTCGAATGCAATGGTCATACGAAATAATTATATAATTATACTTTACACCCTAACTGTAACATCGAAATGTTACATTTCATTGTAACGAAAACCAGGGGGTTTATACAATATGTGCATAGCCTCTACTAAAACATACTTAATGACATTGCTCAATATTCCTCATAATAAAGAAATTGACATCCATAAATTCTCTTCCTTTTGCCCAATATTGCTGCCTGATGATATCAAAACACTGCACTGAGCGTTCAATGGGAAAGGCGCACACAACTTTTGAATGAGTTTCATGTTCCTTTTTAATAAAGAGGTGTTACGCAAACACGGAAACTACTTTGAACAGTGAATGGATCTGTGAGTGGACGGGGGAGGAGGGGGAGGGGGGGATCGAGCCTGCTTATCTGGGAGCATCTAGCTGTTACCACTTCCTTGTAAAGTGAGCGAGTGGGTGAATTTTGTTTAACTTCACTTGAAACTGTATTTCAGTTTCTCGGGTGGTGTCAGTGGAAGGAAACCTCGAACTGATGCTGTGGTAGACGTGTGTCACTTCCTTGAAACCTACAAGCAGGGCTGTGGTGTTCAATCGGTAACTTTTCGTAAATACGACGGTATGCAAACACGGGAAGTGAGTGAGTGAGTGGATGTGTGTGTGGAAGATTGAGTTTTCGGGTGATTGGTTGGTTGGTTGGTTTGTTGTTTAACGCCGCACAATATTTCAGCTATTTGACGGCGGTCTGTAAATATTCGAGTCTGGACCAGACAATCCAGTGATTAATATTATGAGCACCGATCCACGCAATCGGGATCGATGACATGCATCAACCAAGTCAACGAGCCTGACCACCCGATCCCGTTACTCGCCTATTACCACAATTGGGGTGATTGAATTTGAGAGAGATTGGGTGAGTGAGTGAGTGAGTGCGGGGGTTGATTGGGTGAGGGAGTTAGTGACTGAGTTTGGGGGTTACTGGGTGAGTGAGTGAGTGATTAGGTGAGTGAGTGATTGAGTGACTGTGCGGTGGGGGTGTTTGGATTAGTGGGTGATTGAGTGAGGTAGGGAGTGAGTGAGTGATTGAGGGTGGGTGGGTTGGTGATTGAGATTTGGTGAGTGAGTGATTAGGTGAGTGAGTGGGTGATTGAGTGACTGTGGGGGTTGATTGGATTAGTGAGTGAGTGAGTGAGTGAGGTAGGGAGTGAGGGATTGAGTAATATTGGGTGGGTGAGTGGGTGAGTGAGTTAGTGTCTGGTTAAGTGAAATAAGTGAGAGTGTTAAGGTGGGTGACAGAGTGATAGAGGTAGGGATGAGTGATTGAGAGAGCTTGTTTATCGAGGAGCTACTGGCTGTTCCCACTACATCATAAAGTGACGGAGTTGGAGACCTTTGTTTGACACCTCAAGTAGAGACAATCATTAACATAAATACGGCTGTTTACTCAACGAGGAAGTACGTTATACAATATCATGATTGGTCCTTTTGAATAATTTATATTGCTAGTTAGAAAATATATGCACATATAACACAGATTTTTCTAATTGTCCAGTTACATGACAATCTTTTACTATCAATATCCAAACCGGGCCAATCTTATTCAGTGAGTCTACATATAGATGTCTAACGATCTAATTGTCTGATCTAAATGTATGTATATGTTCAGCTATTGTTGCAACTTCCTTGATTCACGGTTTCATAGACTTGAAATTTAGCATTTTATGTTAAAGTTAATGTCAGTAAGTACAGGGCCACTTGACATAAGATTGTGATTAGCAATATGTTTACAAATACCCTGTTACTATTGAGGTGCCACAGTTCGACAGGTTTAGCCTATGATCATGGGTTCGAATCCCAGATTCGCCAGTATTTTTAGTCTTACCACCACACCGTGCTGGGGCTGTGGGGTACCTTTGTGGTTAAAGCGTTCGTTCGCCACGCATATGGCCGGGGTTCGACTCCAACATTGGTACAATATTTGAAGTCACTTTCTGGTGTCACCGGTCTTGATTTTGCTTGAATATTGCTAAAAGCGATGTAAAACCGCACTCATGCACTCACTCACGATCGTGGGTGAAACAGATGCAGTAACAATCTGCAACCTGCATGACATCAGTTTTGGCCTTTCCCATAAAGATGAGACCCGTGAAGATTCCGGGGTAGAATAGGTCTTCAGCAACCCATGCTTGCCATAAAAGGTGACTATGCTTGTCGCAAAAGGCGACTAACGGGATCGGGTGGTCAGGCTCGCTTACTTGGTTGATACCTGTCATCGATTCAAATTGCGTGGATCGATGCTCATGATATAAATCACTGGATTGTCTGGTCCAGACTCGATTATTTACAGACCGCCGTCATATAGCTGGAATAATGCGGAGTGCGCGTTAAACAACAAACCAACCAACCAACCAACCATAAAGATGACAGGCCGTGATAAGTAATTTTACAAAACGACGTTCATACCAGGTGAGCTACATCTTCGATACGCATGTATAACACTTCTGATATTAAATCAGTGAGTGGCTGTTGAGGACAGATAGTAAGGCGGGTTAATGGTGAAGAGTTACCCCCCTTGATCGATTCTTCATCACTGAAGACAACTCTGTTTGGTACGACCGTTTGTTCTTCCAGACTGGCGTTCGCTCGTCACGCCAAAGACCCGGGTTCGATTCCCGACATGGGTACAATGTGTGAAACCCATTTCTGGTGTCCCCCGCCGTGATATTGCTGGAATATTGCTTAAAGCGGCGTAAAACCATGCTCACTCACTCACTCTCTCACTCACTCTTCCAGATTGTGCATAAGCCTGGTCTTTTTTGTAGTTTGGTCTGTGAAGTGCACGGTTCAAGGATAGGCATTTTTAACAATATTTTTTAATTATTAAACTGTCGTGTATTCGCTGTAAATGATCTACTGATACCTTGACCTTCTTTCATTTTCCTCAAATTTAAATATTGTGTTTCACAAGGAAGCTGTATTCAATATTCTGATCACATGTTGACGATGTCAAGTAGACTTGATCAAAGCCATAAGCAAAACCACTTCCAATTACCGGTTGAGAGTTTCAAGATTATTAAAAAACAATGCTATATTTCATGTCGTGACCAACAAGGAAATGATGTTGTTGTATTATTCTGTCCTTTTCCTTGAGTTTAGCAATGAGTAGCCCAAACGCCATGCGTCCAACGTTTTTATTCTGTTCGAATCTGATTAAGTCATCTTGCTTTAAGAATAGGATATCGCATTTTAGAAGACAAAATGGGGGTACTGAAACACAATCTCACAGGCCTGAGTGACCGTTGTTTTACTGTGATACTCTAACTACAGTAAACTACGGTTATAACGAACACGCTTATAACGAACTGACGGATATAACGAACTTACTTTTCTGGTCCCGACTATTTGCTGTATTAATGCTGTATAAATGCTTATAACGAACTACGGTTATAACGAACTAAAATTAGTAGTCCCTTTGAGTTCGTTATAACCGTACTTTACTGTATACCGCGACGGTCTGTACATTAAATCGAATCTGATGAACCAGTGGTCGAATATATATTATACATGTATATACCGCCGGTATCTAGGTACTAGTGTCTGCTCAAATGAAGCTTTATTTGTTCCCCGACCAGTAGATCCGTTTGCATTCCAGTTATCATTCTCAACTCCCTGGGGAGTATAGAACCAAGGCTGTCGAGGGGCGCTAGAAGGTGTTTTACATCCACATCGGATATCCATTCCCTGATGGGTGAACAGAGGCACAATTGAACTTAGATACAGTAAACTACGTTGATAACGAACACGCTTATAACGAACTGACGGATATAACGAACCTACTTTTTTGTCCCGACTATTTGCTGTCGTTATGCCGTATATATGCTTATAACGAACTACGGTTATAACGAACTAAAATTAGTGGTCCCTTTGAGTTCGTTATAACCGTAGTTTACTGTACTTGACCATGGTGGCACCACAAGGTTTGACACTTGTGTTTCGATTACACTAGGGGTAATGGCAACACTGTAAAGACCTGTAATCGTTGTTGGTCCCAAGGCTGAATAACAACCTGGTCACTAGTGGGATACGATCTCAGCACCTGGCGCTTTTGACCGCTTGCCCAGTCCGCCCCAATAACATCCTGATCCTCCGTTATCAGCTCCAATGACAAGAATGCGATACAGGACACTGTCCCGGAATACTACTGACCCGTCTAAAACGCTGTAAACAGCTGTAAACGATTCATCGGAACCTTATACTGTTTATATGTAGTAAGGGACAGTGGGGTAGCCTGGTGGGTAAAGCGTTCGTTCGTCCCTGGTTCGATTCCCAACATGGATACAATGCGTGAAGCCCATTACTGATGCCCCCCGCCGTGATATTGCTAAGAGTGGCGTAAAACAATACTCACTCTCCTATTTAGTATGTAGTTTTAAACATTATTCCAGACAATATGAACAATAATATGGACGGAGAACCAGTACGATCACTTTTTAAAAACAACTTAGTGTATCTAGAAAGCACCCGTGAAGATCCGGGTTAGAATGGATCTTCGGCAACCTATTCTTGCCGTAAAACGTGACTATGCTTGTTGTAAGAGGCAACTAATGGGGTCGGGTGGTCATGCTCGCTGACTTGGTTGATGCATGTCTTCGTATCCCAATTGTGTGGATCGATGCTCATGATGTCAATCACTGGATTGTCTGGTCCTGACTCCACTATTTACAGACCGCTGTCACATAGCTGGAACACTGCTGAGTGCGGCGCTAAATACAAACAAACATACAAATAGAAAGCACAAACAAGATGTTGTAATTAATCAAGTTTAATGTTCGAAGGCAGGTACAGTCATATAAACATTAACCAATATGAATCCTTGTATTATTCTATACACTGGGAAATCATTTACATCAACAAGTATTTTAAATGACATAATATTTACAACGTGTGTGTCACTGTGACACTGTCAGAGGTACGTGATCGCCCTGCTACAATAACGTTTTAAAAAAGCAATTATTTTTCATTTAATTCTTCTTACCAACACAGATAAAAAGTACAACCAAGTGTACGTATCTGCTCAATACGTCAACGCCAGAAAATAACCAGTCTCGGTTATCTGCCGAAACAGATTCCAGTGGGCGTATGAGGAAAACTAGTGATGAAAATGATATGACTGGATCACAGAAAGTAAGAGTGTGAGTATTGTTCTACGCCGCTTTAAGCAGTATTCCAGCAACATCACGGCTTCACTCGCTGTACCCACTGTACCCCGGGTCATCGGCGTGACGAGCGAACGCTTTACAACTTTGCTACCCCACCGTCCCTCACTGAAATGAGTGATGATACCAGGGCCCACTTGCACAAAGCGATCTTAGCGCTAAGACTATTGTAAGCCTATGTTAAAGTATGGGAGTTGAGATCATCTTAGCGCTAAGATCGCTTTGTGCAAGTGGACCCAGGTGTTCGCGAAAAGGGAAAGCTCTGAAAAAACTAAGTGTTTGTTGCTTAAGGCTGTACTCATCAATATCCCAGCCATACGACGGTGACATGTAAGCAAACGAATCTGGACCAGACAATCCAGTGATCAGTATCATGAGCAAAGATCCACGTAGTCAGGGAGCGCGGTCACAAGTCACCAAGCCTGACCACCCGACCCATTTAAGGGCCAGTTAGAAAGGAGGTGTCAAAACTCCATGTAAAGATGTAGTGTGGGATAGCATTGTGCGTCATGTTGACAAGCAACTGTCATATTTAGTCACTTCCTCTGAAGGTCTGACATAATTTTCTGACTTGACCAGGGTGCCGTTGTACGAAACAACCTCAGCTCTACGACTGTCGTAAGTCTATGTTAAGGTATGGGAGTTACGATCACCTTAACGCTAAGATCGCTTTCTGCAACGGCACCCAGAGCTTTAATGCTGAATCCTTAAGTGAAAGGCTTAGCTATTAACAGAATGTGTCTGTCCAATGAATTTGAATAATATGTACATGCTCTATGGTAAGTGTATCTACACAATCATATACAGTTATCTACACAGGAATACACGGAGAGGAATGCACAAACTTATATTCTACATTCTACATCTTGTTGTATCTTCCTGTATGTCCACATGATAGCGTAAACACTGATGAGAGGATAGGTGACAATATATACAATCCGTGAATGAAATAGACATTGTTTAGGACGACCAAAATAATGTCATCACATTATGCAGACAGTTTCGAGCAATGTGATGTTATGTACACAAGAAATAACACCGGGTGTCCGTGACATGATGTAGTGATGTCGTTGTAACACCAGGTGCTCGCGAAGACACTACTGGCGTTACGATGTCACAAGGTGTTCGCGAAACACTGGGTTGGAGTGATGACACCCGGTGTTCGCGAAACACTGTGTTGTGGTGATGGCACCAGGTGTTCGCGAATAACTTGGTTGGAGTGATGGCACCAGGTGTTCGCGAATAACTTGGCTGGAGTGATGGCACCCGGTGTTCGCGAATAACTTGGTTGGAGTGATGGCACCAGATGTTCGCGAATAACTTTGTTGGAGTGATAGCACCAGGTGTTCGCGAAAAAACTGGGTTGCAGTGATGGCACCAGGTGTTCGCGAAACACTGTGTTGTAGTGATGACACCAGGTGTTCGCGAAACACTGGGTTGTAGTAATGGCACCAGGTGTTCGCGAATAACTTGGTTGGAGTGATGGCACCCGGTGTTCGCGAATAACTTGGTTGGAGTGATGGCACCCGATGTTCGCGAATAACTTGGTGAGAGTGATGGCACCAGGTGTTCGCGAATAACTTGGTTGGATTGATGGCACCAGGTGTTCGCGAATGACTGTGTTGTAGTGATGGCACCAGATGTTCGCGAATCGTTATGTGTTGTAGTGATGACACCGCGAATCATTACTGTGGTGAAGGCACCGAGAGTTCACAAAAAACTGTACTATTTCAATTGTGGCTGCGGTTTTTTCGCTGAACACAAGGTAACATTGATGACACCGGGTGTTCGTGAATTACTGTAATGATACCGTAATGATCGCGAGGGTGAGATCGATGTCAGTTACGCTAGAGTAGCTATATGATCAACATTCCGTGACGTCATTGGCTCCTCTGAAGGAGTATTGTGGCGCTATGGGGTGAAGAGTCTGGGTGTTCCCTGTCACAGGGTACTTAATGGTGGCCATGCTGTCATCTAGTTCACTGAAGATTGCCTCGACCGAGGGGTGAGACATCAGGGACCCAGGGAAAGCTGAAACAAATGCGTCAGATTTTAGTTCGTGCAGATAACTCCTTTACTTGCAAAATACCAGTTTTCGTCATTTAACATTATATTGAAAAGCATTAACTGACTGCTGGGATCAACAGTCAGGTCAATGTGTGTTTGGTTTCCTTTCTGGTCTCAGAAGTCAGGGCAGTAAAGTAATTACAGTAAACTATTACACTAAACAACTAACAGTAAAGAACTAAAATCAGTAAGCTACTAACAGAAAACAACGAACAGCAAACTATTATACTAAACAACTAACAGTAAAGTACCAATATTGACTACTTACAGTAAAGTACTAACAGGAAACAACTAACAGTAAAGTACTAACAGTAAAGAACTACTTACAGTAAGCTACTAACAGAAAACAACGAACAGTAAAGTACTAACAGTAAACCTACAGTAAAGTACTAACAGTAAACTATTATACTAAACAACTAACAGTAAACTACTAACAGTAAAGAACTACTAACAGTAAGCTACTAACAGGAAACAACTCATAGTAAAGTACTAACAGGAAACAACTAATAGTAAAGTACTAACAGTAAACTAACAGTAAAGTACTAACAGTAAACCACTTACAGTCAACAACTAACAGTCAACTACTAACAGTAAACAGTAAAATACTAACAGTAAGCTACTAACAGTAAGCTACTAACAGTAAACTACTAACAGTAAACAGTAAAGTACTAACAGTAAACTACTAACCTCTGATGCAGAAAGACAACAGGACAACGAGGAGAACATTTGTGACAACCACCCCAACAACAACTGCCAACAGTATCTTCCACGCTGAAACAAAGACACTATGAGTGTGTGTCCCGAACACCTGGTGTCATCACTGACTTTCAGTCATCCACTGACCCCCAGCTTGCCTCTTACACCCAATAGGAATTGTTTCAGCAGATAATCGAGACTATTATTATTCTCTTGCCTTGACTTTTCACTCTGGCTTTTCACAATATTCCAACAATATCTCTTCACAGACTGTAGGCATGTGGGCTTCTGAGCATGTCCATCAAACAAAGTATATTTTATTGCATTATTTATGGTAATTTATGGAAGATTTTGGTTTTGAAAAAACGCTTTCATCCCACAATAAGCTGCCACCTAATAACTGATATATTGTTCACATAGTCGGTAAACCTGACTCAGCAATAGTTCTAAACTGGTAAGCATGCATACAGTGCTTCAGCAGTACTTACTATAGTCCTCGTCATCCTTGAGATTCAGATCAGTCGTATCTGGAAGGGAATCGATTATATGGGTGAGGTCGTATTATTTGTACATTAAACATCATTAATGTTGTGTACGTACTGTGCTGGTGTTTTATAGTGATGTCATTGTGGAATACTTACTGTTGTAAACTTTCGTTGTACTGATGATGCGTGCAGTGGTATCTGTGGAAAAATGAAGATGAAGCGAAATCAATCATGTTCTCTGTGAAATGCAGCATCTCAGTTGTTTGCTTTATATATTTCAGCTATGCAACGACTGCCTCTGAATTTAATCGAGTCTGGATCTATCAATCCAGTGATTAATAATATCAGCACAGACCAACACCGTAGAAGTTTGAGTGAGTGAGTGAGTGAGTGAGTGAGTGTGGTTTTACGCCGCTTTTAGCAATATTCCAGCAATATCACGGCGGGGGACACACATTGTACCAATGTCGGGAATCGAACCGGGTCTTCGGCGTGACGAACGAACGCTTTAACCACTAAGCGATCCGACCGCCCCACACCGTTGAAGACACACAAAAACCTGAAATTGACCACTGACCACTGACGACCCGAAGCATTTAGACTTAACACCAAGATACGTTGCCTTGGATACTAAACAAAACAAACATTATGCACGTGTATTTATATTTTTCAGGGAATATTTTACATGATTATGTTTAACTGTTTCATGCTTCAAGTCGGGAATATACACTGGGGCGACTTACCATATCCTATTCCGATACTGTATTCCAAATCCAGATTACGACGAAGACCATTGGTCAAGATGACCCTGTACAGACCGGTCATGTTTTCAGTAACATTCACGTGGTAGAATTGAAATAACTGGACAACAGGTGACAAGGTCCGGTTCCTCATGTTCCAAAGAGAATTGTCACCGCTCCTACTCCAAACACTGGTTTCATTACTTCCATCTGCCTGAAGGCTCCATCCCGCAACTAATGACCTTGGACTTGAGACGACTGTGAAGTTGACCTCGATTGATTCTCCCTCAACAACTGTGAACCTCCTTGAAAGTTCCCCTTGATTTTGTAAAACTGGGAAATCTGTAACAATAATAGCATTCGCGAGTAATATTAAACCATCGAATCTGGGCAATTCAAACCAGTGATTGACATCATGAGCATCGATTTACGCCATTGGCATGGAATGAAACGCATCAACCAAGTCACCGAGCCTGACGACCCGATCCCATAAGTCGCCTCTTACGACAAGCATGGGTTGCAGAAGACTAATTCTATCCCGGATACTCACGGGGGAAGAACTATTTGAAAGGAGTATTTAGAGTAATATTGTTTGTATATGTTGAAAGAATTGTTGTTATTGACGGAAAGAGACTTATTTGTAACCGCTTCTGAAGTAAAGAGTGGGTTTTATGATCGGGGTTTATGTCTCCTTGCGCTCATTAAGTGACACCCTCATCGTCAAATTAAATGGACTTTTACGCACTATAGTATGCCAAACTAGATCACATGCCCAGGAAGATCCAGGTTAGAATAGGTTTTCCGCAACCAATGTTTGCCGTAAGAGGTGACTATGCGTGTCGTAAGAGGCATTCGAGAGTAATGTTGTTAATGCATCAGTAAATATGTAAGTAATTGTTATGATGTGTAATTATACAAGTCGGAAAAAAGTCTTAACAAAGTACTAATATATGCTGCTTATTGTGTGAACAACATTTCTTTTTTGGGGGGGTACGCTGCTTTTAGCAATATTACAGCAATATAACGGCGGGGAGCACCAGAAACGGGCTTCACACATTGTACCCATGTCACGAATCGAACCCGGGTGTCCGGCGTGATGAGCGAACGCTTTAACTGCTAGGCTACCCGACCGCCCCTTGAACGTTGTGAGAATGAACACCACCTTAACTGCATCCTGATGATGTTCTGGGTACTTTGTTTCTGTTCTACCATTGCTATGTATATAATGACCGTCACGTCTGTAATGACTGCCACGTCTCTATGTAAAGTCATAGGTCCTTTCATATGTTTGCCCTATCTTTTGCATCTGTCCAATATGGCGGAACGTTACTTCGGAGTTCGTGTTTGCGTATTTGCCAAAGCATTCTAAAACATTGTAGGGTTATCGGCGACGTTTCACGATGATCATTGGTGATTAGTTTAAAAAAACCAATAACCCAAGATCACCGATATGCTATTTTTGATACTCAATTTTCCGAGCTAAGCTCCAATATTTTGATTTCAAAACATACAGTAAATAACGCCGTGAATGGTGATTTAGTAATGTGTCACAAATGGTGAAATTTACAATGTTCTTCATTTTCCTTTGGTAATTTTCAGTAATTTTCCTTTGCGTAAAATGTTTTGAGAGAAGGAGATACGTTAACTTATTGACCGACATAATCGATCCTCACGATCGTGGTGAGCAGGAGAGAAAAGAGAGAATTGTTCCACTCGGGGATTCCCCATGAAAAGTAGTCCCGGTCAAAAATCGTGTAAACGTCAAAAGGTGAAGTTAATACTTTGTAAACGTCACTTTTTAAAGTTTATTGAAAAATGTACTGGTCATGTTATCAGCAAATAAACCAATCAAATCATCAAAAATCCCTTAAGCTTCAAAATAAGAAGTAACAACATAACCCTGGCAATCATGCCTTATTCACAGTCAATTCATTTTGATTACGACGCCCTCTGCTTTAGCATTCCTCCTTTAGTTTTCATGCAGATCTATTGAGATTCGTACAGATCATCTCGAAATGAATACGTTGGTAAGAGGTATATTAGTCGATAAAGGCACAATGACATGGATCTATCCTGCTACAAATGATGCTACGTCTGTGCAGTCAACTACATACTCACATTCAGGCACTGTTAGGTGCACCTCGGCCTCCGGACTATCATTGTGGTTGGCGCTGTTGTTAGCTGTACATACATAGGTGCCGCTGTCTTCACGCCCGGCGTTGATCACGTCGACGACACTAATGAAGCCGTCAGTGGGAGGCTGGCGGAGGCCATAGCGGTCTGTGAGGTTCTCTTCCTTTATGATGTCGCCATCCTTTCGCCACGTGATGAAGGGAGGAGGAAATTCATCAACAGAGCAGACCAGAGTGGCGTTGGCACCTCCCGAAATGGTGTAATTAGCTCTGACTCCCTTGTCGACTGATATCGAAATATTCCACGGCGGATCTGGAACATGAGCAAATGTGAAGACGTGAAAGCATTTAGTGGTTCTAAAACCTATGTGTTTGTTTGCTGTTTAACGCCGCGCTCATATATGACGGTGGTTCGTAAATAATGGACTCTGGGCAATGCAACCAGTGATGGACAACATGAACCTCGATCTACAATGATATGCATCAACCAAGTCACCGAGCCTGACCACCCGATACCATTAGTCTCCTCTTACGACAAGCATGGGTTGCCGAAGACTATCCTGGGTACTTACGGGGGAAGAATTATTTGAAAGGAGTATTTAGAGTAATACTGTATATATTGAATGAATTGTTTTTATTGACGTATGAGTGGGTTTCATGATCGGAGGTAATGTCTCCTTGCACTCATTAAATCACACTTTCATCGCCAAATTAAATGGACTTTTGCGCATTAAACTTTGCTAAACTAGATCACATGCCCCGTGAAGAGCCAGGTTAGAATAGGTCTTCAGCAACCCATGCTTGCCGTAAAAGGCGACTAGGCTTGTCATAAGAGGCGATTGACGGGAACGGGTGGTCAGACTTACCGACTTGGTTAATACAAGTCTACGTATCCCAATTGCGTAGATCAATCCTCATGATGTCAATCACTGGACTGTCTGGTCCAGACTCGATTATTTACAGACCGGCGTCATATAGCTGGAATATTGCTGAGTGCGGCGTTAAACAACAAACAAACAAACAAACATTCACAAACTTGATTCCAAAGTCAAGAATGTTGTTTTTTCTTATTTACCGAAGACGAAGCCAAGTAGAGTAAAGAAAAACAAATTACACTTACAGCTCTGTAACAATTATGTTATTGGGGAATAAATCTGTTAATAGCAACATATATGTGAATAATTATTATGTAATTCTGTATTCTTAGAGATGGGTAAGAGGTACAGTAGTTGGTAAATGCACAATGACATGAATCTATTCTGCTACAACTGATTCTACGACTGCGCAGTCAACTACATACTCACAGTTAGGCACGACCAGGTGCACCTCGGCTTCCGGACTATCATTCTGGTTGGCGCTGTTGTTAGCTGTACATACATAGGTGCCGCTGTCTTCACGCCCGGCGTTGATCACGTCGAAGACACTAATGAAGCCGTCAGTCGGAGGCTGGTGGAGGCCATGGCGGTCTGTGAGGTTCTCTTCCTTTATGATGGCGCCATCCTTTCGCCACGTGATGAAGGGAGGAGGAAATCCATCAACAGAGCAGACCAGAGTGGCGTTGGCACCTTCTGGAATGGTGTAACTATCTTCGTGTTGGTTGTTGATAGATATCGAAATATGCCTCGGTGGATCTGGAACATGTGCAAATGTGAAGACGTGAAAGCATTTAGTGGTTCTAAAACCTTTGTGTTTGTTTGCTGTTTAACGCCGCGCTCATATATGACGGTGGTTCGTAAATAATGGACTCTGGGCAATACAACCAGTGATTGACAACATGAACCTCGATCTACAATGATATGCATCAACCAAGTCACCGAGCCTGACCACCCGATACCATTAGTCGCCTCTTACGACAAGCATGGGTTGCAGGAGACTTATTCTATCCCGGATACTCACGGTGGAAGAACTATTTGAAATGAGTATTTAGAGTAATACTGTATATATTGACACAATTGTTTATATTGACGGAGGAGTGAGTTTCATGATCGGGGTTTATGTCTCCTTGCGCTCCTTAAGTCACACTTTCATCGCCAAATTAAATGGACTTTTTCGCATTAAACTATGACAAACTAGATCACATGCCCCGTGAAGAGCCAGGTTGGTATAGGTCTTCAGCAACCCATGCTTGCCGTAAAAAGCGACTAGGTATTTTGTAGGAGACAATTGACGGCATCGGGTGGTCAGACTTACCGACTTGGTTGATACAAGTCATCGTATCCCAATTGTATGGATCTATGCTCATGATGTCAATCACTAGCTTGTCTGGTCCAGACTCGAATATTTACAGACTGCCGTCATATAGTTGGAATATTGCTGAGTGCGGCGTTAAACAACAAACAAACAAACATTCACAAACTTGATTCCAAAGTCAAGAATGTTGTTTTTTCTTATTTACCGAAGACGAAGCCAAGTAGAGTAAAGAAAAACAAAATGCATTTACAGCTCTGTAACAATTATGTTATTGGGGAATAAATCTGTTAATAGCAACATATATGTGAATAATTATGATGTAATTCTGTATTCTCAAAGATGGGTAAGAGGTACAGTAGTTGGTAAATGCACAATGACATGAATCTATTCTGCTACAACTGATTCTACGACTGCGCTGTCAACTACATACTCACAGTTAGGCTCGGCCAGGTGCACCTCGGCTTCCGGACTATCATTGTAGTTGGCGCTGTTGTTGGCTGTACATACATAGGTGCCGCTGTCTTCACGCCCAGCGTTGATCACGTCGAAGACACTAATGAAGCCGTCAGTGGGAGGCTGGCGGAGGCCATACCGGTCTGTGAGGTTCTCTTCCTTTATGATGTCGCCATCCTTTCGCCACGTGATGAAGGGAGGAGGAAATCCATCAACAGAGCAGACCAGAGTGGCGTTGGCACCTCCCGAAATGGTGTAATTAGCTCTGACTCTGTTGCTGACTGATATCGAATTATTCCCTGGAGGATCTGTAACACGTGTAAACGTGAAGACGTAAAAGAACAACAAGAATTTTGTGGTTTAAGATTGAGAGTAATATAAATGTATATTTTGAAAGAATTTTTGTTATTGACGGAAAGGGGGGCACGGGTGTCCAAGTCGTCTAAGGCGCCACGATTCGCTTTGCAGAGTTGCGTCCCTTTGGCACGCCAGAAGCCTATGATTGTGGGTTCCACTCCCGGTTTGCCATGATTATGTTTCTAGGATTGTCAGCACCATACCCGAGCTCGTGGTAAACGTCTTAGACCTGCATCACTTTAGGCTTTCCTCCCACATTAAGCTGACACGCTGCGAAATAACTGGAATACTGTTAAAAGCAGCGTTAAACCCAACTCACTCACTCACTATTGATGGAAAGAGACTCAAGAAAGTTCCATCCTCAAATTGCATGGCATATTTACGCAGGTCATAACTAGGTCACCATTCGTACCATTCCAAAATTTATAAACTTGATTCCAAAGTCTAGAAGGCTGTCTTTTATTCGTTTGAATTTCTAACAAAGACAATTCGGATTCTACTTACAGCTCACACGGATTTCCAAGGTTCTTTGTTCCAGTACAGTGTCATTCGCCTCAATAACGCATGAGTAGTTTCCGTGGTCTGTGACTTGGACGTTTTGGAAAATTAGAGTTTCATTTCCAGGTGTAACCCTTGAATGTTCCTCTTTCTCCCAGTACACTGTGTAGTTTGTTATGTTTTGGTATCCGCAAGTGACAGATGCAGTGGTCCCAGCCGTGATTGTCCATGGTGAGTCCTCAGACAGAAAAACTGCACCTGGAACAAAGGAGGTTGTATACAACACAGTAAACTACGGCTATAACGAACTCAAAGGGACCACTTATTTTACTTCGTTATAACCGTAGTTCGTTATAAGCACATATACAGCAACTATTCAGCAAATGGACGTTACCACATTTCAAAACACTTTTCGTTATATCCGTCAGTTCGTTATAAGCGTTTTCGTTATAAACGTAGTGTACATTCATATTTCCTAACCTGGTCAGGTATACAACTTTCTTGAAGAATTTAATTCCACGTGTTTGTTTTTCTTACATAGCATTATTTGTTCCAGGAAATACTGGAAACTGATTGGCTTCAGGTTTTGGACAGAAAATTGTTCAATGGGTGTCTGGATGTTGAAAAGAAATTATGATTTCTTTAACCGGTTTATCCTTTCAGAGAAAACAATCGAAAACAATTGTGACTGAAAAGATATTGTTTCTAACAAAAATAACAAACCTTGTTTGATTCCTTACCTGTATTTAATCCAATAACTGCCACAACTAACACAACAGCAGGACAACACACCAGCTTCATCGTCGCTGCACGGCTGGTGTTGTTTGTGGGAGAAATGAGTTAGAACGGTCTATAACAAACTTCAAGGAAGTAGTGTCGGGTCGTTTGTAACTGCAGCTGAGGTACATATCACTCGATTATCAGAGGAAACGTTATAGGCAAACACTTGTGATTTTGTTGTTCTTTCCCTGACAGTTTTGACGCATCACACGGAAACAGCGCGTTTCACCTTTGTGAGGGATTCCTTCCGTCATCTCAAGATGTTCCTTTCAGTTCCAGTTTCCATTGAAGGAGAAAATGTCTATTGGATTCCGAATGCATTACCGTAAACACTACAATAAAATCTGACAATGATGCTGTATGTTATTTGTAATGACAGTTAGTATGCGGTTAGTCTGTGGTTTTATGCAACATGTGTCAATATGTCAGTGAGGACAGCGATATTGCTGAATAGTGTTCACAACGACAATCAGGTGATAAAATAGGACTGGTCAGCTCGGAGACAGTGTAATGTATTTAAACTATGACTGAACACATTTAACTGTATCTAGGGTATGTTTTTAGATGCAAGACGTGTGTGAAATCAAAAGTTATTCCTGAGGCATTCTTTGACCGAAGTACTTTTAGTTATAGTTACGCTCATTATTTTGGTTTTTCGTATTTTCGTACATTACATTCATCGATAGGGGGACGAGTCTTGCAGGTTACGGAGAGGGGCGAGTATTGACGAATGCGCCGCACAATCGGATGTCGTATCTCTTGTTTATGTACGGTAGCACGGTATTTTCATTTCATTTCAGTTTCACCTCAACAGGCCTTTATTAATCCTATATTTTTAGCACACACATGCCACACAATATAGGACATAACTAAAAATAATAGTCCTACATTTATTTGTACTGAGTACTTTCGGTAAAAGTTTCAAGAAAAGGAAATTAACATATCATTTAAGGAAATATGCATTTCATAAAACTTTTTTCAAACAACAAGGACTAAGCTATCGAAATCTGCATGCAAACTAATTGTGCCGATAGAAGATCATCAAAAATATGACCATTTTTATCCAACAAAGTACTTATAACATATCATATATCATAAACATAATTGTAAAGTGTGCAAAACAATGTCACACGGGCTTGACGTGACATCCATGTCACATGGTGTTGTATACAAGTCACATCCATATCACACGGTGTTCTATACATGTCACATCAATATCACATAGTGTTGTATACATGTCACACAGTGTTGTATACATGTCACACGATGTCACACGGTGTTGTATACATGTTACATCCATGTCACTGGGTGTTGTATACATGTCACACGGTGTTGTATACATGTCACATCCATGTCACATGCTGTTGTATACATGTCACATCCATGTCACACGGTGTTGTATACATGTCACACACTGTTGTATATATGTCACATCATATCACACGGTGTTGTATACATGTTACATCCATGTCACTCGGTGTTGTATACATGTCACATGGTGTTGTTTACATGTCACACGGTGTTGTATACATGTCCCATCCATGTCACACGGTGTTGTATACATGTCACATCCATGTCATAGGTCTTGTATACATGTCACATCCATGTCATACGGTGTTGTATACATGTCGCAAGGTGTTGTATACATGTCACACGGTGTTGTATACATGTCACATTCATCTCACATGGTGTTGTATACATTTCACATCCATGTCACCCGGTGTTGTAAACATGTCACACGATGTCACACGGTGTTCTATACATGTTACATTCATGTCACTCGGTGTTGTATACATCTCACTAAGTGTTGTATACATGTCACATCCATGACACACAGTGTTGTATATATGTCACATCCATGTCACACGGTGTTGTATACATGTCACATTCATGTCACATGGTGTTGTATACATTTCACATCCATGTCACCCGGTGTTGTAAACATGTCACACGATGTCACACGGTGTTGTATACATGTTACATTCATGTCACTCGGTGTTGTATACATCTCACTCAGTGTTGTATACATGTCACATCCATGACACACAGTGTTGTATATATGTCACATCCATGTCACACGGTGTTGTATACATGTCACATCCATGTCATACGGTGTTGTATACATGTCACATCCATTTCTCACAGTGTTGTATACATGTCACATCCATGCCATACGGTGTTGTATAAATGTCACATCCATGTCACACGGTGTTACATACATGTCACATCCATGTCATACGGTGTTATATACATGTTACATCCATGTCACTCGGTGTTGTATTCATGTCACACGGTGTTGCATACATGTCACACCATGTTGTATACATGTCACATCAAGGTCACTCGGTGTTGTATACATGTCACACGGTATTGTATACATGTCACACGGTGTTGTATACATGTCACATCCATGTCACACGGTGTTGTTTACATGTCACATTCATGTCACACAGTGTTGTATACATGTCACATCCATGTCATACGGTGTTGTATACATGTCACGTCCATGTCATACGGTGTTGTATACATGTCACACGGTGTTGTATACATGTCACATCCATGTCACATTGTGTTGTATACATTTCACATCCATGTCACACGGTGTTGTAAACATGTCACACGATGTCACACGGTGTTGTATACATCTTACATTCATGTCACTCGGTGTTGTATACATCTCACACGGTGTTGTATACATGTCACATCCATGACACACAGTGTTGTACATATGTCCCATCCATGTCACACGGTGTTGTATACATGTCACATCCATGTCATACGGTGTTGTATACATGTCACATCCATTTCACACGGTGTTGTATCAATGTCACATCCATGCCATACGGTGTTGTATACATGTCACTTCCATGTCACACGGTGTTATATACATGTTACATCCATGTCACTCGGTGTTGTATACATGTCACACGGTGTTGAAACATCTCACACGGTGTTGTATACATGTCACATCCATGTCACACGGTGTTGTTTACATGTCACAGAGTGTTGTATACATGTCACATCCATGTCATACGGTGTTGTATACATGTCACATATATGTCACTCGCTGTTCTATACATCCATGTCACACGGTGTTGTATACATGTCACACGGCGTTGTATACCTATCACATCCATGTCACACGGTGTGGTATACATGTCACATCCATGTCACACGAAGTTGTATACATGTCACATCCATGTCACACGGTGTTGTATTCATGTCACATCCATGTCACACGGTGTTGCTTACATGTCACATCCATATCACACGGTGTTGTATACATGTCACATCCATGCCATACGGTGTTGTATACATGTCACACGGTGTTGTATACATGTCACATCCATGTCACTCGGTGTTGTATACATGTCACATCCATGTCACACGGTGTTGTATACATGTCACATCCATGTCATACGGTGTTGTATATATGTTACATCCATGTCACTCGGTGTTGTATACATCAATGTCACACGGTGTTGTATACATGTCACACGGTGTTGTATACCTGTCACATCCATGTCACACGGTGTTGTATACATGTAACATCCATGTCATACGGTGTTGCATACATGTCACATCCATGTCACACGCTGTTGTATTCATGTCACATCCATGTCACACGATGTTGTATACATGTCACACGATGTCACACGGTGTTGTATACATGTTACATCCATGTCACTCGGTCTTCTATACATCCATGTCACACGGTGTTGTATACATGTCAAACGGTGTTGTATACATGTCACATCCATGTCACACGGTGTTGTATTCATGTCACATCCATGACATACTTTATTGTATACATGTTACATCCATGTCACTCGGTGTTGTATACATGTCACACGGTGTTGTATACATGTCACACGGTGTTGTACACATGTCACATCCATGTCACACGGTGTTGTATTCATGTCACATCCATGTCATACGGTGTTGTATACATGTCACATCCATGTCACACGGTGTTGTATACATCTCACTAAGTGTTGTATACATGTCACATCCATGTCACACGGTGTTGTATACAAGTCACATCCATGTCACACGGTGTTCTATTCATGTCACATCCATGTCATACGGTGTTGTATACATGTCACATCCATTTCACACGCGTACGGTGTTGTATACATGTCACATCCATGCCATACCTAGTTCCATACATGTCCCATCTATATCACACTATGTTGTATACATGTCACACGGTGTTGTATACATGTCACACGGTGATGTATACATGTCACACGGTGTTGTATACATGTCACATCCATGTCACATGGTGTTGTTTACATGTCACAGAGTGTTATATACATGTCACATCAATGTCATACGGTGTTGTATACATGTCACATCAATGTCACACGGTGTTGTATTCATGTCAGATCCATGTCATACTTTATTGCATACATGTTACATCCATGTCACACGGTGTTGTATACATGTGACACGGTGTTGTATACATATCCCACGGTGTTGTATCCATGTCACATCCATGTCACACGGTGTTTTATACATGTCACATCCATGTCACACGGTGTTGTATACATGTCACACGGTGTTGTATACATGTCTCATCGATGTCACATGGTTTTGTATACATTTCACATCCATGTCACACGGTGTTGTATACATGTCACACGATGTCACACGGTGTTGTATACATGTTACATCCATGTCACTCGGTTTTGTATACATGTCACACGGTGTTGTATAGATGTCACACGGTGTTGTATACATGTCACATCCATGTTTCTCGGTGTTGTATACATGTCACATCCATGTCAAACGGTGTTGTATACATGTCACATCCATGTCATACGGTGTTGTATACATGTCACATCCATGTCATACGGTGTTGTATACATGTAACATCCATGTCATACGGTATTGTATACATGTCACACGTTGTTGTATACATGTCACATCCATGCCATACGCTGTTGTATACATGTCACATCCACGTCACTCTATGTTGTATACGTGTCACATGCATGTCACACTGTGTTGTATACATGTCACACAGTGTTGTTTATATGTCACATACATGTCACACGTTGTTGTACACATGTCACACGGTGTTGCATATATGTAACATCATGTCACACGGTGTTGCATACATGTCACATCCAAGTCACTCGGTGTTGTATACATGTCACACGGTGTTGTATACATGTCACATCCATGTCACATGGTGTTGTATGCATGTCACACGGTGTTGTATACATGTCACCTCTATGTCACATGGTGTTGTATGCATTTCACACGGTGTTGTATACATGTTATACTCATGTCACTCGGTTTTGTATACATGTCACACCCATCTCACAAGGTGTTGTATACATGTCACACGGTGTTTTATACATGTCACAACCATGTGACACGGTGTTGTGTACATGTCACACGATGTAGAACGGTGTTGTATACATGTTACATCCATGTCACTCGGTGTTGTAACATGTCACACGGTGTTGTATACATGTCACATCCATGTCACACGGTGTTGTATACATGTCACATCCATGTCACACGGTGTTGTATACATGTCACATCCATATCACACGGTGTTGTTTACATGTCACATCCATGTCATACGGTGTTGCATACATGTCACATCCATTTCACACGGTGTTGTATACATGTCACATCCATGCCATACGGTGTTGTATACATGTCACATGCATGTCACACGGTGTTGTATACATGTCACACGGTGTTGTTTATATGTCACATCCATGTCACACGGTGTTGTATACATGTCACACGGTGTTCTTTATATGTCACATCTTGTCACACGGTGTTGTATACATGTCACCTCTATGTCACATGGTGTTGTATGCATGTCACACGGTTATGTATACATGTTATACCCATGTCACTCGGTGTTGTATACATCTCACACGGTGTTGTATACATGTCACATCCATGACTCACAGTGTTGTATATATGTCACATCCATGTCACACGCTGTTGTATACATGTCACATCCATGCCATACGGTGTTGTATACATGTCACATCCATTTCAAACGGTGTTGTATATATGTCACATCCATGCCATACAGTGTTGTATACATGTCACATCCATGTCACACGGTGTTGTATACATATCACATCCATGTCACACCGTGTTGTATACATTTCACACGGTGTTGTATACATGTTACATCAATGTCACTCGGTGTTGTATACATGTAACACGGTGTTGTATTCATGTCACATCCATGTCACACGGTGTTGCATACATGTCACACGGTGTGGTATACATGTTACATCCATGTCACTCGGTGTTGTATACATGTCACACGGTGTTGTATACATGTCACACCATGTCACACGATATTTTATACATGTTACATTCATGTCACACGGTGTTGTATACATGTCACATCCATGTTACTCGGTGTTGTATACATGTCACATCCATGTCACTCGGTGTTGTATACATGTCACATCCATGTCACTCGGTGTTGTATACATGTCACATCCATGTCATACGGTGTTGTATACATGTCACATCCATGTCACACGGTGTTGTATTCATGTCACATCCATATCATACTTTATTGTATACATGTTACATCCATGTCATTCGGTGTTGTATACATGTCACACGGTGTTCTATACATGTCAACTCCATATCACACGATGTTGCATACATGTCACATCCATGTCAGAGCGGTGTTGTATACATGTCACATCCATGACATAGGGTGTTGTATACATGTCACATCATGTCACAAGGTGTTCTATACATGTCACATCCATGTCACACGGTGTTGTATACATGTCACATCCATGGCAAATGGTGTTGTTTACATATCACACGGTGTTGTTTACATGTCACATCCATGTAACACGGTGTTGTATACATGTCACATCCATGTCACATCGTGTTGTTTACATGTCACACGGTGTTGTATACATGTCACATCCATGTCACAAGGTGTTGTATACATGTCAAAGCCATGTCATACGGTCTTGTATACATGTCACAAGGTGTTGTATACATGTCACACGGTGTTGTATTCATGTCACACGGTGTTGTATACATGTCACATCCATGTCACATGGTGCTCTATACATTTCACATCCATGTCACACGGTGTTGTAAACATGTCACACGATGTCACACGGTGTTGTATACATGTTACATTCATGTCACACGGTGTTGTATACATCTCACACGGTGTTGTATACATGTCACATCCATGACACACAGTGTTGTATTTATGTCACATCCATGTCACACGGTGTTGTATACATGTCACATCCATGTCATACGGTATTGTATACATGTCACATCCATTTCACATGGTATTGTATACATGTCACATCCATGCTATAGGGTGTTGTATACATGTCACATCCATGTCAAACGGTGTTGTATACATGTTACATCCATGTCACTCCGTGTTGTATACATGTCACACGGTGTTGTATACATGTCACACGGTGTTGTATACATGTCACATCCATGTCACACGGTGTTGTATACATGTCACACGGTGTTGTATCCATGTCACACGGTGTTGGATACATGTCACATCCATGTCACACGGTGTTGTTTACATGTCACAGAGTGTTGTATACATGTCACATCCATGTCATATGGTGTTGTATACATGTCACATCCATGTCACACGGTGTTGTATACATGTCACACTGTGTTGTATACATGTTACATCCATATCACATGGTGTTGTATACATTTCTCATCCATGTCACACGGTGTTGTATACATGTCACACGATGTCACACGGTGTTGTATACATGTTACATCCATGTCACTCGGTGTTGTATACATGTTACACGGTGTTGTAAACATGTCACAAGGTGTTGTATACAATTCACACCCATGTCACTCGGTGTTGTATACATGTCACATCCATGTCATACGGTGTTGTATACATGTCACATCCATGTCACTCGGTGTTGTATACATGTCGCGCGGTGTTGTATACATGTCACACAGTGTTGTATACATGTCACATCCATGTCACACGGTGTTGTATACATGTCACATCCATGTCACACGGTGTTGTATACATGTCACATCCATGTCATACGGTGTTGTATACCTGTCACATCCATGTCACACGGTGTTGTATCCATGTCACATCCATGTCATACGTTATTGTATACATGTTACATCCATGTCACACGGTGTTGTATACATGTTACAAGGTGTTGTATGCATGTCACAAGGTGTTGTATACAATTCACACCCATGTCACTCGGTGTTGTATACATGTCACATCCATGTCATACGGTGTTGTATACAGGTCACATCCATGTCACTCGGTGTTGTATACATGTCGCGCGGTGTTGTATACATGTCACACGGTGTTGTATACATGTCACATCCATGTCACACGGTGTTGTATACATGTCACATCCATGTCAAACGGTGTTGTATACATGTCACATCCAAGTCATACGGTGTTGTATACTTGTCACATCCATGTGACACGGTGTTGTATCCATGTCACATCCATGTCATACGTTATTGTATACATGTTACATCCATGTCACACGGTGTTGTATACATGTCACATCCATGTCACACGGTGTTGTATACATGTCACATCCATGTCATAGGTCTTGTATACATGTCACATCCATGTCATACGGTGTTGTATACATGTCACAAGGTGTTGTATACATGTTACACGGTGTTGTATACATGTCACACGGTGTTGTATACATGTCACATTCATGTCACATGGTGTTGTATACATTTCACATCCATGTCACATGGTGTTGTGTAATATGTCACACGGTGTTGTATACATGTCACATCCATGTCACATGGTGTTTTATACATGTCACATCCATGTCACACGGTGTTTTATACATGTCACACGATGTCACACGGTGTTGTATAAATGTTACATCCATGTCACTCGGTGTTGTATACATGTCACACGGTGTTGTATACATGTCACATTCATGTCACACGGTGTTGTATACATTTCACATCCATGTCACGCGGTGTTGTATACATGTCACATGGTGTTGTATACATGTCACATGCATGTCACATGGTGTTGTATACATGTCACATCCATGTCACACGGTGTTGTATACATGTCACACGATGTCACACGGTGTTGTATACATGTTACATCCATGTCACTCGGTGTTGTATACATGTCACACGGTGTTGTATACATGTAACACGGTGTTGTATTCATGTCACATTCATGTCACTCGGTGTTGTATACATGTCACACGGTGTTGTATACATGTTACATCCATGTCACACGGTGTTGTATACATGTCACTCGGTGTTGTATACATGTCACATGGTGTTGTATACATGTCACATCCATGTCAGTCGGTGTTGTATACATGTCACACGGTGTTGTATACATGTCACACGGTGAGATCGTAAGGTGTTCAAGGACTTATGAGTTTAATGCATTTCTTTGTGCATAGGAATCAGATATTCTGCTCAAATGTCATTATGATATAAAATATTTATTAAAACACCAAACTATAGTCTTAACTCTTAGCACAGTGAGTGATTTCCCTTTATGTTTCTGTAGCAAAATGGGAACAGAATGCACTAACGTTTTTCAACTGACAGTCCGATAAATTGATCGAGATTATAAAAATAGAAGCCTTTGATATCTTTTTATAAAGAACGGCGATTGGGTGGTCAGACTCGGTGAATTGGTTGGTTGCGTTTGGTATAAGTACCAATCTGGGTTTCAGGCTGGTCACTCAACTGTCCATCAACTAATGGAACTTTATCATCAAATTTGTACAGCATTAGATAACAAAGAAAACTATTTTATTGAATTCTGTGATGTATCAAAAGCCTTTGATCGTGTATGGCACAGTGGGCGTGTGTATAAATTAGAGAGGTATGGTATAAAAGGTCAATTGTTAAAATGGCTTACCAGTTACATAAGTAACCGTAGCCAAAGCGTATTTGTCAATGGGGAAATATCCAAACCAAGAAATATGAAGGTTGGCGTGCCACAGGGGTCCGTGCTTGGTCCTTTACTCTTTATTGTTTATGTAAATGACATTGCTGACAACTTAGACTGTATAACAAGACTTTTTGACGACGATTCATCGATTGGCATGTCCTCCTATGATAACAGTGTACTGGAACGTTCCTTAAGCTCAAATCTAGCAATCTTAAGTGAATTGGCGAAACTTTGGCTCATAACTTACAATCCCGACAAGAATAAATCAGTTCTATTCTCTCGCAAAGACAACATTGGAGGTCTACAACTATATTTCAACGGAAAAGTAATCAGCTCTGTAAATAGTCATAAGCACTTGGGTGTTATACTTGAAGCCAGTGGCAAATGGTCTTATATAGATACCATAATAAAAACAACTTACAAGATGATTTACTCAATGAGAAAACTCAAACATCTCCTTCACAGAAATACTATTAACAATATATATAAAATTGTTCATAAGACAACACTTTGAATACGCATGTGAGGTATGGGATGGTTGCACCGAAGGACAAAGTGAGAAATTAGAACAATTACAATTAGAAGCTGCACGCATTGTAACTGGTCTACCTAAATATGCCCCTAGGCATTCATTATATTACGAAACCGGTTGGGAACCCTTTGTTGAGCGTAGAAAGAAACGTAAACTTTGTCTTTTCTTTAACATTTATCATAATATGGCCCCTTCCTATCTAACAGATATTCTACCAAACACCGTTGCTGCAACAAACTCATACAGTCTCAGAAACTCTAATTTTCTTTAAAATTAATCATAATATGGCCCCTTCCTATCTAACAGATATTCTACCAAACACCGTTGCTGCAACAAACTCCTACAGTCTCAGAAACTCTGAAAACATCAGTGTTCCTCTCACGAGACTAAGACATTCGTGGGAATCCTTTTACCCATCGACCATCCGATTGTGGACGTCTATTCCGTTATCAGATCGAAATTCTACGATTTCTTGTTTTAAAAATTCTTTACAAAAGCACCACCACACGTCACCTGCGTACTCACTGCGCATGTGGAAAAAGAAAATATAATATCTTACACACAAAACTGAGATACATGTGCCGCTGCAGTCAATTGGATTATGATTTATACAGAATTGGTATAAAAGATCACCCGAACTGTACATGTTCAAATGCATGTGAAAATGCATATCATTATCTCATGGAATGTACATTGTTTAGTCATCAGCGTGAAATTATTTTTAACAGCCTTTAAGATATTGTTCATAACATACCTGTTATTGTACACCTACTGTTATACGGCAATGCAGATCACGTTGTTACAGAAAATGAAGTTATATTTAAGGCAGTACACCATTATATAGTATGTACAACTAAAAGATTTATGGAAACTCCATCCATCAAGAACCATCTTTTAACGTCTTTTGGTATGACGCTCACTAGACCACGGAGGCGGTCACCAGTACCAGTGGAGATAATGTTTACAAAAGAAAAACTATTTGCTTGTCCAGTGATTCAGTTTGGAGAGCGACACAATTTCGAATGGTTGTCGGCAAAGATGAGTGACGATTAAACAGATGATCGTTCAGTGAGAAGCCACAGTTCACACGTCTGTTTCCATGCAGGTCACGCCCCTGTTTAAATAACGCTGCATGGAGTAGGGGTCAAAGGGCCGCATGTAGTTGGTGTTGGCCTCAGTCACAGGAAGATCCAGCATCAGACTCTCATCCACTGCATGGTAGACATGTTCGACTGCCGCTGGCATAACGCCTGTGACGAGATATCAAACATTTGACAAGTAGGACTTACAGGGGTGGTATTCGCACAGAAATCAATTTGAAATTGTTTGAAAATATCCACTCATTGTTCTCACATTGAGAGTTTGAAAGTCAAATTACTGGGCAGAGTTACCTCCCTTAGATCATGTCGTAATTGACGTCAATTTAACTAGTCCCAAGTAAACGAACAGTAATGTACTAACAGTAAATAACGAACAGTACGGTATTAACAGTAAAATACTACCAGTAAACAACTAACAATAGTACGATAAACAGTACACATCTAACAGCAAATTACTAACTGTAAATTACGAACAGTAGAGTACTTACAGTAAGGTATTAACAGTAAAATACTACCAGTAAAGAACTAACAGTGAAGAACTAACAGTAAACAACTAACAGTTAACTACTAACAGTAAAGCCGTCATATAGCTGGGATATTGCTGAGTGCGGCGTAAAACAACAAACAAAGAAACAAAAACTAACAGTAAAATACTACTAGTAAAGTACTAACAGTAAAGTACTAACAGAAAACCTCTAACAGTAAACAACTAACAATAAAGTTCTATAAACAGTAAACAAGTAACAGTAACTAATAGGAAACAGGTAACGGTAAACAGTAAACTACCAACGTAAGTTACTAACAGTAAGCAGTAACTACTAACAGTAAACAGTAAGCTACTAACAGTAAGCAGTAACTACTAACAGTAAACAGTAAGCTACTAACAGTAAACTACTAACAGTAAGCAGTAACTACTAACAGTAAACTACTAACAGTAAACAGTAAACTACTAACAGTAAACTACTAACAGTAAGCAGTAACTACTAACAGTAAACTACTAACAGTAAACAGTAACTACTAACAGTAAGCAGTAACTACTAACAGTAAACTACTAACAGTAAACAGTAAACTACTAACCTCTGATGCAGAAAGACAACAGGACAACGAGGAGAACATTTGTGACAACCACCCCAACAACAACTGCCAACAGTATCTTCCACGCTGAAACAAAGACACTATGAGTGTGTGTCCCGAACACCTGGTGTCATCACTGACTTCCAGTCATCCATTGACCCCCAGCTTGCCTCTTACATCCAGTGGGGTTTGTTTCAGCAGATAATCGAGACTATTATTATTCTCTGGCCTTGACTTTTCACTCTGGCTTTTCACAATATTCCAACAATATATTTTCCCAGAGTGTAGGTAAGTGGGCTTTTGAGCATGTCCATCGAACAAAGAATATTTTATTGCATTATTTATGGTAATTTATTGAAGATTTGAGTTTATGAAAAAAACCGCTTTCCTCCCACAATAAGCTGCCACCTAATAACTGAAATATTGTTCACGTAGTCGTTAAACCAGACTCAGCAATAGTTCTAAACTGGTAAGCATGCATACAGTGCTTCAGCAGTACTTACTATAGTCCTCGTCATCCTTGAGATTCAGATCAGTCGTATCTGGAAGGGAATCGATTATATGGGTGAGGTCGTATTATTTGTACATTAAACATCATTAATGTTGTGTACGTACTGTGCTGGTGTTTTATAGTGATGTCATTGTGGAATACTTACTGCTGTAAACGTCCGTTGCATTGATGCTGCGTCCAGTGGTATCTGTGGAATATGAAGATAAAGTGAAATCAATAATGTTCTCTGTGAAATGCAGCATCTCAGTTGTTTGCTTTATATATTTCAGCTATGCAACGACTGCCTCTGAATTTAATCGAGTCTGGATCTATCAATCCAGTGATTAATAATATCAGCTCAGACCAACACCGTAGAAGTTTGAGTGAGTGAGTGAGTGAGTATGGTTTTACGCCGCTTTTAGCAATATTCCAGCAATATCGAGGCGGGGACACATATTGTACCAATGTCGGGAATCGAACCGGGTCTTCGGCGTGACGAGCGAACGCTTTAACCACTAAGCGATCCGACCGCCCCACACCGTTGAAAACAATCAAAAACCTGAAATTGACCACTGACCACTGACCACTGACGACCTGAAGCATTTAGACTTAACACCAGGATACATTACCTTGGATACAAAACAAAACATACGATATGCACGTGTAATTATATTTTTCAGGGAATATTTTACATTATGTTTAACTGTTTCATGCTTCAAGTCGGGAATATACACTAGGGGCGACTTACCATATCCTATTCCGATACTGTATTCCAAATCCAGATTACGACGAAGACGATTGGTCAAGATGACCCTGTACAGACCGGTCATGTTTTCAGTAACATTCACGTGGTAGAATTGAAATAACTGGACATCAGTTGACAATGTCCGGTTCCTCATGTTCCATAGAGAATTGTCAACGCTCCTACTCCAAACACTGGTTTCATTACTTCCATCTGACTGAAGGCTCCATTTCACAACTAATGACCTTGGACTTGAGACGACTGTGAAGTTGACCACGATTGATTCTCCCTCAACAACTGTGAACCTCCTTGAAAGTTCCCCTTGATTTTGTAAAACTGGGAAATCTGCAACAATAATAGCATTCGCGAGTAATATTAAATCATCGAATCTGGGTAATTCAAACCAGTGATTGACATCATGAGCATCGATTTACGCCATTGGCATGCAATGAAACGCATCAACCAAGTCACCGAGCCTGACGACCCGATCCCATAAGTCGTCTCTTTCGACAAGCATGGGTTGCTGAAGACTAATTCTATCCCGGATACTCACGGGGGAAGAACTATTTGAAAGGAGTATTTAGAGTAATATTGTTTGTATATGTTGAACGAATTGTTGTTATTGATGGAAAGAGACTTATTTGTAACCGCTTCTGAAGTGAAGAGTGGGTTTTATGATCGGGGTTTATGTCTCCTTGCGCTCATTAAGTGACACTTTCATCGTCAAATTAAATGGACTTTTACGCACTATAGTTTGCCAAACTAGATCACATGCCCAGGAAGATCCAGGTTAGAATAGGTCTTCCGCAACCCATGTTTGCCGTGAGAGGTGACTATGCGTGTCGTAAGAGGCATTCGAGGGTAATGTTGTTAATGCATCAGTAAATATGTAAGTAATTGTTATGATGTGTAATTATACAAGTCGGAAAAAAGTCATAACAAAATACTAATATATGTTGCTTATTGTGTGAACAACATTTATATTTTATCGGGTACGCTGCTTTTAGCAATATTCCAGCAATATCACGGCGGGGGACACCAGAAATGGGCTTCACACATTGTACCCATGTCGCGAATCGAACCCGGGTGTTCGGCGTGATGAGCGAACGCTTTAACCGCTAGGCTACCCGACCGCCCCTTGAACGTTGTTAGAATGAACACCACCATGTCTTACTTGTTCTTAACTGCATCCTGATGATGTTCTGGGTACTTTGTTTCTGTTCTACCATTGCTATGTATGTGATGACTGTCACGTCTGTAATGACTGTCACGTCTGTAATGACTGTCACGTCTCTATGTAAAGTCATAGGTCCTTTCATATGTTTGCCCTATCTTTTGCATCTGTCCAATATGGCGGAACGTTACTTCGAAGTTCGTGTTTGCGTATTTGCCAAAACATTCTAAAACATTGTAGGGTTATCGGCGACGTTTCACGATGATCATTGGTGATTAGATTTTAAAAAACAATAACCCAAGATCACCGATATGCGAATTTTGATATTCAATTTTCCGAGCTAAGCTCCAATATTTTGATTTCAAAACATACAGTAAATAACGCCGTGAATGGTGATTTAGTAATGTGTCACAAATGGTGAAATTTACAATGTTCTTCATTTTCATTTGGTCATTTTCAGTAATTTTCCTTTGCGTAAAATGTTTTGAGAGAAGGAGATACGTTAACTTATTGACCGACATAATCGATCCTCACGATCGTGGTGAGCAGGAGAGAAAAGAGAGAATTGTTCCACTCGGGGATTCCCCATGAAAAGTAGTCCCGGTCAAAAATCGTGTAAACGTCAAAAGGTGAAGTTAATACTTTGTGAACGTCACTTTTTGAATTTTGTTGAAAAATGAACTGGTCATGTGATCAGCAAATAAACCAATCAAATCATCAAAAATTCCTTAAGCTTCAAAATAAGAAGTAACAACATAACCCTGGCAATCATGCCTTCACAATCAATAAATTTTGATTACTACGCCCTCTGCTTTAGTATTCCTCCTTTAGTTCTCATGCATATCTATTGAGATTCGTAGAGATCATCTCGAAATGAATACGTGCGACAGAGTGAGTGAGTGAGTTGGGTTTAACGCGGCTTTTAACAGTATTCCAGTTATATCACGACGTGTCAGCTTAATGTGGGAGGAAAGCCCAAAGTGATGCAGGTCTCAGACGTTTACCACTTCGGTGAAACCCACGAGCACGGGTATGGTGCTGACGAACTTAGAAACATAATCGGGGTGAACCGGGATTCGAACCCACAATCATAGGTTTCTGGCGTGCCCAAGGGACGCAACTCTGCACAGAGAATCGCGGCGCCTTAGACGACTGGGCCACCCGTGCCCCCCGTGCGTCAGAGGTATATTAGTCATTAAAGGCACAATGACATGGATCTTCCCAGCTAGAAATGATGCTACTTCTGTGCAGTCAACTACATACTCACAGTTAGGCACTGCCAGGTGCACCTCGGCCTCATTCTGGTCGGCGCTGTTGTTAGCTGTACATGCATAGGTGCCGCTGTCTTCACGCCCGGCGTTGATCACGTCGAAGACACTAATGAAGCTGTCAGTGGGAGGCTGGCGGAGGGCATTGCGGTCTGTGAGGTTCCCTTCCTTTAAGATGTCGCCATCCTTTCGCCACGTGATGAAGGGAGGAGGAAATCCATCAACAGAGCAGACCAGAGTGGCGTTGGCACCTCCCGAAATGGTATAACTAGCTCTGACTTTGTTGTTGATAGATATCGAAATATTCCACGGTGGATCTGGAATATGAGCAAATGTGAAGACGTGAAAGCATTTAGTGGTTCTAAAACCTATGTGTTTGTTTGCTGTTTAACGCCGTGCTCATATATGACGGTGGTTCGTAAATAATGGACTCTGGGCAATGCAACCAGTGATTGACAACATGAACCTCGATCTACAATGATATGCATCAACCAAGTCACCGAGCCTGACCACCCGATCCCATTAGTCGCTTCTTACGACAAGCATGGGTTGCCGAAGACTATCCTGGGTACTTACGGGGGAAGAATTATTTGGAAGGAGTATTAAGAGTAATACTGTATATATTGAAAGAATTGTTTTTATTGACGTATGAGTGGATTTCATGATCGGGGGTAATGTCTCCTTGCACTCATTAAATGACACTTTCATCGCCAAATTAAATGGACTTTTGCGCATTAAACTTTGCTAAACTAGATCACATGCCCAGTGAAGATCCAGGTTTGAATAGGTCTTCAGCAACCCATGTTGGCCGTAAAAAGCGACTAGGTATTTTGTAAGAGACAATTGACGGCATCGGGTGGTCAGACTTACCGACTTGGTTGATACAAGTCATCGTCTCCCAATTGTATGGATCTATGCGCATGATGTCAATCACTAGCTTGTCTGGTCCATACTCGAATATTTACAGACTGCCGTCATATAGTTGGAATATTGCTGAGTGCGGCGTTAAACAACAAACAAACAAACATTCACAAACTTGATTCCAAAGTCAAGAATGCTGTTTTTTCTTATTTACCGAAGACGAAGCCAAGTAGAGTAAAGAAAAACAAATTGCACTTACAGCTCTGTAACAATTATGTTATTGGGGAATAAATCTGTTAATAGCAACATATATGTGAATAATTATTATGTAATTCTGTATTCTTAGATATTGGTAAGAGGTACAGTAGTTGGTAAATGCACAATGACATGAATCTATCTATCTAACTGATTCTACGACTGCGCTGTCAACTACATACTCACAGTTAGGCACTGCCAGGTGCACCTCGGCCTCCGAACTATCATTCTGGTTGGCGCTGTTGTTGGCTGTACATACATAGGTGCCGCTGTCTTCACGCCCAGCGTTGATCACGTCGAAGACACTAATGAAGCCGTCAGTGGGAGGCTTGTGGAGGCCATAGTGATATGTGAGGTTCTCTTCCTTTATGATGGCGCCATCCTTTCGCCACGTGATGAAGGGAGGAGGAAATCCATCAACAGAGCATTCCAGAGTGGCGTTGGCACCTCCCGAAATGGTGTAATTAGCTCTGACTCTGTTGCTGACTGATATCGAAATATTCCCTGGGGGATCTGTAACATGTGTAAACGTGAAGACGAAAGAGAACAAGAATTTTGTGGTTTAAAATTGAGAGTAATATAAATGTATATTTTGAAAGAATTTTTGTTATTGACGGAAAGGGGGGCACGGGTGTCCAAGTCGTCTAAGTCGCCGCGATTCGCTTTGCAGAGTTGCGTCCCTTTGGCACGCCAGAAGCCTGTTATTGTGGGTTCCAATCCCGGTTCGCCCCGATTATGTTTTTAGGTTTGTCAGCACCATACCCGTGCTCGTGGTAAACGTCTGAGACCTGCATCACTTCGGGCTTTCCTCCCACATTAAGCTGACACGCTGCGAAATAACTGGAATACTGTTAAAAGCAGCGTTAAACCCAACTCACTCACTCACTATTGATGGAAAGAGACTCAAGAAAGTTCCATCCTCAAATTGCATGGCATATTTACGCAGGTCATAACTAGGTCACCATTCGTACCATTCCAAAATTTATAAACTTGATTCTAAAGTCTAGAAAGCTGTCTCTTATTCGTTTGAATTTATAACAAAGACAATTCGGATTCTACTTACAGCTCACACGGATTTCCAAGGTTCTTTGTTCCAGTACAGTGTCATTCGCTTCAATAACGCATGAGTAGTTTCCGTGGTCTGTGACTTGGACGTTTTGGAAAATTAGAGTTTCATTTCCAGGTGTAACCCTTGAATGTTCCTCTTTCTCCCAGTACACTGTGTAGTTTGTTATGTTTTGGTATCCGCAAGTGACAGATGCAGTGGTCCCAGCCGTGATTGTCCATGGTGAGTCCTCAGACAGAAAAACTGCACCTGGAACAAAGGAGGTTGTATACAACACAGTAAACTACGGCTATAACGAACTCAAAGGGACCACTTATTTTACTTCGTTATAACCGTAGTTCGTTATAAGCACATATACAGCAACTATTCAGCAAATGGACGGGACCACATTTCAAAACACATTTCGTTATATCCGTCAGTTCGTTATAAGCGTTTTCGTTATAAACGTAGTGTACATTCATATTTCCTAACCTGGTCAGGTATACAACTTTCTTGAAGAAATGAGTTCCACGTGTTTGTTTTTCTTACATAGCATTATTTGTTCCAGGAAATACTGGAAACTGATTGGCTTCAGGTTTTGGACAGAAAATTGTTCGATGGGTGTCTGGATGTTGAAAAGGAATTGTGATTTTTTAACCGGTTCATCCTTTCAGAGAAAACAATCGAAAACAATTGTGACTGAAAAGATGTTGTTTCTTACAAAAATAACAAACCTTGTTTGATTCCTTACCTGTATTTAATCCAATAACTGCCACAACTAACACAACAGCAGGACAACACACCAGCTTCATCGTCGCTGCACGGCTGGTGTTTGTGGGAGAAATGAGTTAGGACGGTCTATAACAAACTTCCAGGAAGTAGTGTCGGGTCGTTTGTAACTGCAGCTGAGGTACATATCACTCGATTATCAGAGGAAACATTATAGGCAAACACTTGTGATTTTGTTGTTCTTTCCCTGACAGTTTTGACACATCACACGGAAACAGTGCGCTTCACCTTTGTGAGGGATTCCTTCCGCCATCTCAAGATATTCCTTTCAGTTCCAGTTTCCATTGAAGGAGAACATGTCTATTGGATTCCGAATGCATTACCGTAAACACTACAATAAAATCTGACAATGATGCTGTATGTTATTTGTAATGACAGTTAGTATGCGGTTAGTCTGTGGTTTTATGCAACATGTGTCAATATGTCAGTGAGGACAGGGATATTGCTGAATAGTGTTCACAACGACAATCAGGTGATAAAATAGGACTGGTCAGCTCGGAGACAGTGTAATGTATTTAAACTATGATTGAACACATTTAACTGTATCTAGGGTATGTTTTTAGATGCAAGACGTGTGTGAAATCAAAAGTTATTCCTGAGGCATTCTTTGACCGAAGTACTTTTAGTTATAGTTACGCTCATTATTTTGGTTTGTCGTATTTTCGTACATTACATTCATCGATAGGGGGACGAGTCTTGCAGGTTAGGGAGAGGGGCGAGTATTGACGAATGCGCCGCACAATCGGATGTCGTATCTCTTGTTTATGTACGGTAGCACGGTATTTTCATTTCATTTCAGTTTCACCTCAACAGCCATTTATAAATCCTATATTTTTAGCACACACATGCCACACAATATAGGACATAACTAAAAATAATGGTCCTACATTTATTTGTACTGAGTACTTTCGGTAATAGTTTCAAGAAAAGGAAATTAACATATCATTTAAGGAAATATGCATTTCATAAAACTTTTTCAAATTGCTATGTACAAGGACTAAGCTATCGAAATCTGCATGCAAACTTATTGTGCCGATAGATGATCAACAAAAATATGACCATTTTTATCCAACAAAGCACTTATAACATATCATATATCATAAACATAATTGTGAAGTGTGCAAAACAATGTCACACGGGCTTGACGTGACATCCATGTCACATGGTGTTGTATACAAGTCACATCCATATCACACGGTGTTCTATACATGTCACATCAATATCACATAGTGTTCTATACATGTCACACAGTGTTGTATACATGTCACACGATGTCACATGCTGTTGTATACATGTCACACGCTGTTGTATATATGTCACATCATATCACACGGTATTGTATACATGTTACATCCATATCACTCGGTGTTGTATACATGTCACACGGTGTTGTATACATGTCACATCCATGTCACATGCTGTTGTATACATGTCACACGCTGTTGTATATATGTCACATCATATCACACGGTATTGTATACATGTTACATCCATATCACTCGGTGTTGTATACATGTCACATGGTGTTGTTTACATGTCACACGGTGTTGTATACATGTCACATCCATATCACACGGTCTTGTATACATGTCACACGATGTCGAACGGTGTTGTATACATGTTACATCCATGTCACTCGGTGTTGTAGACATGTCATACGGTTTTGTATACATGTCACATCCATGTCACACGGTGTTGTATACATGTCACATCCATGTCACTCGGTGTTGTATACATGTCACACGGTGTTGTATATGTGTCACACGATGTCGAACGGTGTTGTATAAATATTACATCCATGTCACACGGTGTTCTATACATGTCACACGGTGTTGTATACATGTCACATCCATGTCACACGGTGTTGTATACATGTCACATCGATGTCATACGGTGTTGCATACATGTCACATCCATATCACACAGTGTTGTATACATGTCACATCCATGCCATACGGTGTTGTATACATGTAACATCCATGTCACACTATGTTGTATACGTGTCACATGCATGTCACACGGTGTTGTATACATGTCACACGGTGTTGGTTATATGTCACATACATGTCAAACGGTGCTGCATATATGTCACATCATGTCACATGGTGTTGCATACATGTCACATCCATGTCACATGGTGTTGTATACATGTCACACGGTCTTGTATACATGTCACATCCATGTCACATGGTGTTGTATGCATGTCACACGGTGTTGTATACATGTCACCTCTATGTCACATGGTGTTGTATGCATGTCACACGGTGTTGTATACATGTCACATCCATGTCACACGGTGTTGTTTACATTTCACAGAGTGTTGTATACATGTCACATCCATGTCATACGGTGTTGTATACAGGTCACATCCATGTCACACGGTGTTGTCTTCATGTCACATCCATGTCATACTTTATTGCATACATGTTACATCCATGTCACTCGGTGTTGTATACATGTCACACGGTGTTGTATACATGTCACATCCATGTCACACGGTGTTGTATACATATCACAACCATGTCACACGGTGTTGTATACATGTCACAGCCATGTCATACGGTGTTGTATACTTGTCACATCCATGTCACACGGTGTTGTATCCGTGTCACATCCATGTCATACGATATTGTATACATGTTACATCCAGGTCACACGGTGTTGAATACATGTCACATCCATGTCATACGGTGTTGTATACATGTTACTCGGTGTTGTACACATGTCACACGGTGTTGTATACATGTCACATTCATGTCAGATGGTGTTGTATACATTTCACATCCATGTCACACTGTGTTGTAAACATGTCACACGATGTCACACGGTGTTGTATACATGTTACATTCATGTCACTCGGTGTTGTATACATGTCACATCCGTTTCACACGGTGTTGTATACATGTCACATCCATGACATACGGTGTTGTATACATGTCACATCCATGTCACATGGTGTTGTATACATGTTACATCCATGTCACGCCGTGTTGTAAACATGTCACATGGTGTTGTATACATGTCACACGGTGTTGTATACATGTCACATCCATGTCACACGGTGTTGTATACATCTCAGACGGTGTTGTATACATATCACACGGTGCTGTATACATGTCACATCCATGTCACACGGTGTTGTTTACATTTCACAGAGTGTTATATACATGTCACATCCATGTCATACGGTGTTGTATACATGTCACATCCATGTCACACGGTGTTGTATTTATGTCACATCAATGTCATACTTTATTGCATACATGTTACATCCATGTCACTCGGTGTTGTATACATGTCACACGGTGTTGTATGCATGTCACACGGTGTTGTATACATGTCACCTCTATGTCACATGGTGTTTTATGCATGTCACACGGTGTTGTATACATGTTATACCCATGTCACATGGTGTTGTATACATGTCACAAGGTGTTGTATACATGTCACATCCATGTCACACGGTGTTTTATACATGTCACACGATGTCGAACGGTGTTGTATACATGTTACATCCATGTTACTCGGTGTTGTATACATGTTACACGGTGTTGTATACATGTCACATCCATGTCACACGGTGTTGTAAACATGTCACATCCATTTCACACGGTGTTGTATACATGTCACATCCATATCACATGGTGTTGTATACATGTCACATCCATGTCATACGGTTTTGCATACATGTCACATCCATTTCACATTTTGTTGTATACGTGTCACATGCATGTCACACGGTGTTGTATACATGTCACACGGTGTTGTTTATATGTCACATACATGTCACACGGTGTTGTATACTTGTCACACGGTGTTGCATATATGTCACATCATGTCACACGGTGTTGCAAACATGTCACATCCATGTCACACGGTGTTGTTTACATGTCACACGGTGTTGTATACATGTCACATCCATGTCACATGGTGTTGTATGCATGTCACACGGTGTTGTATACATGTCTCCTCTATGTCACATTGTGTTGTATACATGTTATACCCATGTCACTCGGTGTTGTATACATGTCACACCCATGTCACATGGTGTTGTATACATGTCACATCCATGTCATACGGTCTTGTATACATGTCACATCCATGGCAAACGGTGTTCTTTACATGTCACACGGTGTTGTTTACATGTCACTCCCATGTAACACGATGTTGTATCCATGTCACATCCATGTCACATGGTGTTGTTTACATGTCATACGTCTTGTATACATGTCACATCCATTTCACACGGTGTTGTATACATGTCACATTAATGCCATACGGTGTTGTATACATGTCACATCCATGTCACACGGTGTTGTATACATGTTACATCCATGTCACTCCGTGTTGTATACATGTCACACGGTGTTGTTGCATGTCACACGGTGTTCTATACATGTCACATCCATGTCACACGGTGTTGTATACATGTCACACGGTGTTGTATACATGTCACACGGTGTTGTATACATGTCCCACGGTGTTGTATACATGTCACACGGTGTTTTATACATGTCACTTCAATGTCACACGGTGTTGTATACATGTCACACGGTGTTGTATACATGTCACACGGTGTTGTATATATGTCACACGGTGTTGTATACATCTCACACGGTGTTGTATACATGTCACATCCATGACACACAGTGTTCTATATATGTCACATCCATGTCACAAGGTGTTGTATACATGTCACATTAATGCCATACGGTGTTGTATACATGTCACATCCATGTCACCCAGTGTTGTATACATGTCAGATCCATATCATACGGTGTTGTATACATGTCACATCCATGTCACTCGGTGTTGTATACATGTCACAAGGTGTTGAATACATGTCACATCCATGTCACATGGTGTTGTATACATTTCACATCCATGTCACACGGTGTTGTATACATGTCACACGATGCCACACGGTGTTGTATGCATGTTACATCCATTTCACTCGGTGTTGTATACATGTCACACGGTGTTGTATACATGTCACACGGTGTTGTATACATGTCACATCCATGTCACTCGGTGT